CTTTTGTCTCCCTGCAATGAAACATCATTTTTGTCAACGATACATCATCTAGTATATAATTTTGTAGTATATACAAGTGATCTTGTCTATCCAGATTATTCAAGTTAGTTTATTACGGGCTTTAAATGAGTTTCATAAAGCCCATTATATATAGGCCTAAGTAAATTTTCAAGCTTGTTTATTTGGCCTCACAAGCTAAATTATCTGTTTATTCTCATCGCAAAAGTTCATATAAAACAGTCTTCGATGAAATGTCAGGTTGTTTCGTTTATAGTGTTTTTTTTTTTTTTTGTTAAAGATTTCGTTTATAGTAAGGTTTTGAAAATGTTTTTCATTTCATTGACTATTTTGAGATTAGTAGACATTGAATTAGTTTTCACATCAAATTAGGCTATATCTACGTACGTACATAACATAGCCGTAAGTTTAAATATTCAGATATGTGTGTGTGTGCCAAATTAAGACAGAAGTTCACGGATTGTAAAAAAACAAACAATAATAGAGAAAATAATGTGATAGAAAACAGTAGGCCCGTGACCTTATTATTACAATCTTTTGTATTTTTCTTATATTTACTCATCAAATTGGTAATGTATATGGCTGCTACCATATGATATGAGTATCTATGAAAATCATAATGTCGCTTCAATTCTTTTGTCCACATGTTTTTTTTTTAACTTCCTAAACTAGTCAGTTCTTGGCTTTATACATACTTAGTAGTAATCTGTCGATTCCTTGGATATATCGCTAAATTTCTCTATACTGTACCTGTCTCTGTATTGTTTTTGTTACATTGCAGCCAACTTGGCGTCTACGTTTTGAGCCATTTCATTTATCTATATATATAACTATAGCCTGTTGAATTCTTTATTTGTATAAAAAGAAAACATTTAGACATTATTAAGCTTTATTTTTTTTACAAAAATTAAACATATAGTCATTACTAAGACAGACATCAAGTAAAACTAAAACAAGATTGTAAGAAAAGCATGCAATGTATAAAAATAGCATTATATTGTTTAACTAAAACGATATATACTAAAACAAGTAAGCAATGATTTATGAAGACCGACACACACAAAGTTTATAAAGTTTTGAAATTCTTGATATAAGAAAAAAGGTCCCATGAAACTTAATATTCATAATACATCTAACAAGGATATACACAAAAGACTGCAAGAATCCAAAACTGTACTTCAAGAAAATTAAAAACCAAAAACAGTTTAAAGAGAAAAGGAAAACAAAAATAAAACCCTAAAAACGTAAAAGTTTTTTTGGCTTACAAAAACATTAAACTCCAAAATAAAAACCACTTTATAAAAATCTAATTCACTACACTACTCTTTAACTCTCTATACAAGTTAGAACCATATGGAAAACTCTTCGTTGCCTCCGCCGGAGACGGTGCCATACACACTAACCACCTCTTCCATCTCCTACACCAAACCCAAAACCTCTCTCTCTCTCCTCAGCTTCCCGGCGGCTGAGCCACCCACCTTTATCCTCCGCAACATTACTCTCACTGCTCATCCTACCGAGATCCTCGCCGTCGTTGGCCCTTCCGGAGCCGGAAAGTCAACTCTCCTCGACATCCTCGCCTCTAGAACATCCCCAACCTCCGGCTCCATTCTCCTTAACTCTATTCCCATTAACCCTTCTTCGTATCGCAAAATCTCTTCTTATGTTCCCCAACACGACTCTTTCTTCCCTCTCCTCACCGTCTCTGAAACTTTCTCCTTTGCTGCTCGTCTCTTGCTCCCAAACCCATCAAAAGTATCTGAAACCGTAACCTCTCTTCTGGCAGAACTTAACCTAACACACCTTTCAGACACAAGACTCGCTCAGGGCTTATCCGGTGGCGAAAGAAGAAGAGTCTCTATAGGTTTAAGCCTCCTTCACGACCCTTGCTTTCTCCTTCTCGACGAACCCACTTCCGGTTTAGACAGTAAATCTGCTTTTGACGTCATTCACATCCTCAAATCTATTGCTGTGTCAAGACAACGGACCGTGATCTTGTCCATTCACCAACCTAGCTTCAAGATTCTTTCTATCATAGATCGCTTGTTACTTCTTTCGAAAGGAACTGTTGCATACCATGGAAGGCTTGACTCTCTCGAAGATACCTTGCTCTCTAAGGGATTCACTGTCCCTCCGCAGCTCAATTCACTCGAATATGCCATGGAAATACTTCAAGAACTCAGAGAATCCGACGGAAACACTGATGTTAGCGCTCTCCCTTCGACAGAAAGCCGAAAACAGAGAGAAAAACAGAGTATTGTTCGATATAGGACATCAAGAATCACCGAGATAAGCCTTCTCTCGAGAAGATTCTGGAAGACCATCTACCGAACAAGACAGCTGCTTCTGACCAATGCATTAGAAGCTCTTGTAGTTGGTGTTGTCCTAGGAACTATTTACATCAACATCGGAATCGGCAAAGAGGGAATCGAGAAAAGATTCGGCATGTTCGCCTTCACGCTCACTTTTCTCCTCTCTTCAACAACCGAAACCCTCCCGATCTTCATCAACGAGCGTCCGATTCTTCTCAGAGAGACATCAAGCGGTGTTTACAGACTTTCCTCTCACATTCTCGCCAACACACTCGTTTTCTTGCCGTACTTGTTCGTCATCTCAATCATTTACTCTGTTTCGGTCTATTTCCTCATTGGTCTCTGCCCCACGTGGCAAGCTTTTGGGTATTTCGCTCTCGTGATATGGATCATTCTGCTAATGGCGAACTCTTTTGTTCTCTTCTTGAGCTCTCTTGCTCCAAATTACATTGCGGGAACTTCTCTCGTGACGATTCTTCTAGCGGCTTTCTTCTTGTTCTCCGGTTACTTCATTTCCAAGGAAAGTCTACCCAAGTACTGGCTTTTCATGTACTTTATCTCAATGTATAAGTATGCATTAGATGCACTTCTGATAAACGAGTACTCGTGCTTGGCCTCTAAGTGTTTGGTCTGGTTGGAGGAAGCTCAAACGAAGATCTGCGTGGTGACTGGAGGTGACGTGTTGAATAAGAAAGGACTTCATGAGAAACAGAGGTGGTTTAATGTTTATGTTTTGTTAGGGTTCTTCGTTCTTTATCGTGTGTTGTGTTTTCTTGTTCTCCTTAGAAGAGTTTCAGGTTCAAAGAGGTAACTATTTTTTTTTTGTACATTTTATTTCTGCATACTGATCAATCTAAGTTTTTCAAAATATCTCGGTATCAATCATTGATGTCTTAAAACTATTAAACATTCGACTTCGAGATCAATTATTCAACATATTCCTCTTTTTTTTCACCTTTTCAATGGTAACAAAGTGTTTGCTACATGGAGACATGTCACATACAATACATGAGATGTCATATTCAACGTTTTGTAAACATGTCGACTGCATTATTTTTCTAAATAGTGTTTAAGAAAGAACTTGGGATCGAGTTTTTTCACTTATCATTATGTATGTACATCACATTTTGGATCGAGAAGGTTAAAACTTTGTAATAATAAAGGGAGAAAACGTCAATAGTACTATGATGTGGACACGGTTTATTCTCTCTATCACAAAAAGAAACGAAAGAAGTACCATAGCTAGGTCCATAGATCGACCCACCAACACTAGCTAGTTGAATAACTTGTTCGAGTAAAGTTGTGGTTGTAATGAAAAGGCAAATACATATTCTTTTCTCAAGGTATGTAATTCTAATCAAATCAATATATGTGGTGAGGCTAAGATCTAGGTGCGGGACTAGGTGAATATATAAATATAGATCATGGCATAGAAGAGTCGCTTTGGTTAACTTGTAGCTTGAAGACAAACCTTGGTCTTCACGGGTCTTCATCTTCCTTTAAAAAATGAAAACTCACACACAAAAATTCCATTTCTTGTTCTAATATTTTTACGACCAAAATTAAGAATATTTGGTCAAAAGATTTGATATACTGGCTTGAACTATTTTTGTGTTATAATTAAGATTCAAACCCGGTAGTATGCAAGACAGCATACGTATGAATTTATAAAAGAATATTTGTGATTCATAACCTTTTTTAATGATCTTGTGTTCATGTCAAGAGTTATGTTTCTTTTTTGCTTATCGTAAGGAAAATTAGATAACTACAAATCGAAATCCTATGAACACTCGAATTTGTCGACGTGAACCAAAAAAAAAGAAGACGAAGTGATGATGATTTTTAAAGTGAAGCAGGGATTGTTTGATTCTGGTCGTCACGTTGCCATCCCAAAAATGAAATGCTGCAGTGTTCTTGTTTGTTTCCTTGAAATTTAGTTCCAAGTGGAAGAGCGAGCAGTCATGAGTACAATGTACATGAAAACACATTGATACACATACACATACACATGCATGCATATCAATTTGTGTTCACGGACTTGGCTTGTTTCGTTGTCTACTCGCCCGTGAACGCCTTCTTCCTGAATCCCATTGTTACGACCAAACCATTTTTATTTTTTGTCGTTATTGTTTGTTTTCCATTAACAATTTTTTGAATAGCTTACTAGCTAGGTCTATTGCCAAAATCTAACAACATGAATCCAAACATGGTTCATTTAGTTTTCAGAAAACTGAATTATGTAATTTTAGTGTTAGTATCTAATCCATTTTTTGTTGTTGTTGGGATGTTTTTATAGCTCTCTACATGATATTTGAAAGAAAAAATATGTTAGCAAAAAAATGCTTAAGTTAGCCAATACTCAATATAGTGTACTATTTTATATATATATTTTTAAATTTCTTCTTTTAAGGAATAGTTAAGTTTTTGTCACACAATTAAAAAAAGCTATAGGTTAACAATTATAAGCTTATGATAATTTATTGGCTAATAAGTGTTGCAATAATATTTTTAAAATATACTTAAGTAATTTGTTGTCTATTACATGACTTAATATTTGGGTCCTCCATGTGTTTTGTTTCCCTCCAACTTAATCATGTTTGAACTTTGAGGGCAAGATCTCAACAGCGATGTGAAACTTTAAAGTTTCGACCTTTAAGAGCAAAAGATAGAATGACGAGTAAAGTAGTAGCAGCAGCTTCTGCTGCGTTTCTTTCACGCACTAACGAATTGGGTAATCTTCAACAATCATGTATTCGGATTCTCTCCTTTTGCGAATCCAAGTCATCGCGCATTGGTTTACACATCCACTGCCCTGTAATCAAGTTTGGTCTTTTAGATAATCTCGACTTATGCAACAATCTTTTGAGTCTTTACTTGAAAACCGATTGTATATGGAATGCACGTAAGCTGTTCGATGAAATGTCGCCTAGAAATGTTTTTGCTTGGACAGTTGTGATCTCTGCTTATACCAAGAGCCGAGAGTTTGTGTCAGCGCTTTCGCTGTTTGGAGAAATGATGGCTTCGGGAACACGACCGAGTGAATTCACATTTTCCTCGGTGATAAGATCTTGTGTTGGTTTAAGAGATCTTAGTTACGGAGCTCGAGTTCATGGTTCTGTTATAAAGACAGGGTTTGAGGGGAACTCGGTTATAGGAAGCAGCTTGACTGATCTGTATTCTAAGTGTGGGCAACTTAAGGAAGCTCGTGAACTCTTTAGTTCTCTTCAGAACCGGGATACTATCTCGTGGACTATGATGATATCTTCTTTAGTTGAAGCTCGTAAATGGAGAGAGGCGTTGCATTTGTATTCTGACATGATTAAAGTTGGTGTTTCTCCTAACGAGTTTACCTTTGTTAAGCTTTTAGGTGCCTCTTCCTTTCTCGGTTTGGAGTTTGGTAAGATAATTCATAGCAACATAATCGTTAGGGGAATTCCACCAAATGTGGTATTGAAGACTTCTCTGGTTGATTTCTACTCGAGGTTCTCTAAAAAGGAAGATTCTTTGAAGGTTTTGAATTCAACTGGAGAACAGGATGTGTTTCTGTGGACCTCTGTGGTATCAGGGTTTGTAAGAAACTTGAAAGCCACAGAAGCTATTGGTACGTTTCTTGAGATGCGAGATTCTGGTTTTCAGCCGAATAACTTCACATACTCTGCAATACTGAGCTTGTGTTCATCAGTCCGGTCGCTAGACTTAGGCAAGCAGATTCACTCACTAATGATTAAGGTTGGCTTGGAGGAAAACACTGATGTCGGAAATGCACTTGTAGATATGTATATGAAGTGCTCGGCATCAGAAGTAGAAGCTTTTGGAGTCTTTGCAGCAATGATCTCACCAAACGTCATCTCTTGGACAACATTAATCTTAGGTCTTGTTGATCACGGGTTAAAGCAAGATTGTTTGGGACTGTTGATGGAGATGGTAACGCAAGGGGTAGAACCTAATGTAGTTACTCTCTCTGGTGTTCTCCGAGCCTGCAGAAAATTGAAGTCTATAAGACATGTAGTAGAGATCCATGGATATCTACTCAGAAGACACGTAGATGGTGAATTAATAGTAGGGAATTCACTAGTTGATGCATATGCCAGCTTGAGTAAGGTGGAATATGCCTGGAAAGCGACTCGGTTGACGGACAGGAGAGATGCTATCACCTACACGAGCTTGGTGACGAGGTTTAACGAGTTGGGCAAGTACGAAATGGCACTAAGCGTCATCATTCATATGTGTGCAGATGGAATCCGAATGGATCCTGTTAGCATAACCGGGTTTATCTCAGCGTCAGCCAACTTGGGCGCTCTTGAAACTGGGAAACATCTTCATTGTTACTCAGAAAAATCCGGGTTTTCTAGCTCGGTTTCGGTTTCAAATAGTCTTCTTGACATGTACGGTAAATGTGGTCTCTTGGAACATGCAAAGAAAGTTTTCGAAGAAATAGCTATTCCTGATGTGGTTTCCTGGAATGGAGTGATATCTGCTTTGGCATCAAACGGTTGTATTTCATCTGCTCTGTCTGCATTTGAAGAGATGCGGATGAAAGGATTCGAGCCCGATTCAGTAACGTTCCTGATATTGCTCTCTGCTTGTAGTAATGGAAGATTAACAGAGATGGGCCTTGAGTATTTTCAATCAATGACGGAGATTCATAACATTGAGCCACAGATAGATCACTATGTTCATCTAGTTGGTATCTTAGGTCGTGCTGCGCGCCTAGAGGAAGCAACAGGAGTTGTAGAGACAATGCAGTTAAGACCAAATGCATTGATCTTCAAAACATTGCTAAGAGCTTGTAGATACCATGGAAATCTGGCCTTAGGAGAAGATATGGCTAACAAAGGCTTAGCACTTGCACCATTTGATCCAGCCTTCTACATTCTTTTGGCTGACTTATACGATGAATGTGGAAAACCAGAGTTGGCCCAAAAGACTAGAAATTTGATGAGTGAGAAGGGTTTGATTAAGAAGGTAAGCAAGAGCACTGTGGAAGTTAATGGAAAAATTAACAGCTTTGTCAGTGAGGATGCTACTACTGTGGAGAAAACGACTGGGATTCACGCAGAGATAGAATCTATAAAGGAAGAGATCAAAAGGTTTGGTTCTCCGTACCGAGGTAATGAAAACGCAAGCTTTCACAGTGCAAAACAAGCTGTTGTATATGGTTTTATATATGCGTCACCACAAGCTCCTATTCATGTTGTTAAGAACAAAATCCTGTGTAAGGACTGCCATGATTTTGTCTCCATCTTGACCAGATTAGTCGATAAGAAAATAACTGTAAGAGATGGGAATCAGGTACATATTTTTAGGAATGGCGAATGTTCTTGCAAAAGGGAAGAAACAACATTTGTATTATCATAGGTTTTTAATAAGAATGATAAAACATTTGCGAAAAGCGTACAACATTGTTGTAGTTTTGAAAGTTATTAAGCATTTTATTCAGAGGCTGACCACCAATCCAGAAACAACTCTAGCCAGAAAAAAGCAACAAGCACACAATTTGTAAAACTGGAAGTTACTCCTTCAACTGCGGGTCGCTGGAGCTAGCAGCTGGGACTTCTGTTTTGGATTCCGAAAGTAGACCATTAAGCGTCTTGTAGAACTCTGCAGGAAGAGGACCAGGTCGGTGTTGAGGAACGTGCTTTGGGATTGGTGCATCGTTTTCAATTACTTCACACTCGTAGTCATCTGGAACACCCCAAGGGTCCCATTCTGCATATGCAAACAAAAACGGATTATAATTCCAAGGTGAAGAAAGTGTTGTCAATGGGCAGCAAATTCAGAATAAACTAGCCAAATTTCTAGACCGTTAAAAAGCTTGTGTGGTATATAGCATATTACAACCAAAGAATGTGCTAAGGCTCAGGAAAAAAACTAGTTCTATAAAAGACAGTTACAGTTCAAAAGAGGTCCCCTGAAACCTCACTCAAACAATCATGAAGTTTCGAAAGAGGGTTTATAGTTTCACAGGCGTTAACACTTATGTGCAGATAACTCACTGCAAAGCAAGAACACTAATTAAGAACATGACCACACACCTATGCGACATTGTAGCAAAAATCGTTCCATTCCAAACTTAAGTGAACTATGCAAACTTTCACCCCTAAGACAAAGCTAGCAAATAATACAAAAAGTCTTAACTTTTGCATTCAGTTTCCATAAACCATTGACTCATATAGTCATGGTTTCTCTCCACTAATTTGATAGCCAATAAAAAAGGCTCACCAATGTAATGCTCAAGATTCAAATTCTCATTTACCAGAACCATTTCTGGAAACAAATCAATCTATACCCCAATTGTTCATAATTTGTTCCCTAGCTATAGTAAAATCAAATCCCAAAATTTTCATTTTATATCACAAGATGAATCAAAAATACCAAGTCAATGATAGAGTCGACGAGAATACGAACCAATCATTTTGCCAACGAGAGTGAGCTCATCGCGCGCCTCTTCGATAAGCTCTTCAACCTGACCACAACCAAGCCGTTTCTCAATCGCCTCCCAATCCTCTTCTTCCTTGCAAACACTGAGACGGTGGCGCGTGAACGATTCCACAGATTTACGGTATCCTTCATCCTCCGGGACAGCTTGGATCTCCTTTAGGGTTTTGCTGTAGAGATCGATCAACACCGCTCTCGCGTTCGGAACAACGTCAAGCCCAACGATCCCCGTCGTCTGCTTCACTTTAGCCAATAATGGCCGTCCGATTGCCCGTAGAAACATCTCAACCGTTAGATCTCTCTCTCCTTAACTCCGGCGAAATCACAGATATGTTTGTTGTTGTTGTTTTACAGTGTCAACTCTCACATTTTTTCAGATGGTGAAGAAAACGAAAGAAACTATGGGCCGAAATTTACTTAAATGGGCCTTTTATCTATACTAATAGGCCTATGAATAAGATTTTATGTTACATAGCAATATTATTAACCATATCATTAATTAATCCTTTCTTGTTCTTTTTAAAAACTTCTAATTAATTCGCATTTAATTATAATTATTTGTATTTTTAAAAACTTTAGTGTTTTTTATTCGTGAATTGGGGACCATTAGACAATATGGCCAACTCTTACGTTAGATATTTTTAAAAAAGGAAACTTTTTTTTCCTTCAATTTGTATTGATATTTTTTTCTTTTTTTTTGGGTACATTAAATGATAGTTCACTAAAGTAATAAGAAAACACTAGCAATAGTATAAGATAAGATGAGAGGTAACATAACAACAACAACTTGCATGCCCATCAATCGTCATGAGAATCTGGACAGACCATATTATATGATATTTTTTTAGCATATAAACACTAATTTTTTTTTTCTATAAGTATAAAAAAATCGTATTTTCGTCATTGCTTTATTACTAGTATATTTTAGTGACATCAATAAACGACCCTACTTATATATTTAATTACAGAGACGTTTAATTTTGCAGGAATTTTCTAATACATAAATAAAAATATGTTTGACCGACGCTTTGGATTACGACAAAATGATAAATTTATAGTAATAAAAAAAGGTTGACCATTAAATAGAAGACAAAGCACAAGGCACATCACAAGTGGGAAAGGAAGGGACTAAAGACGCCAGATTTAGGGTCTTGTCTCGTGAAATTAAAAAAGAGACAACAACAACAGAACCGGAGTCTTAGTTTCCGGTCTGAACCGAATTAACTGTCGTCTAGCTAGCTAAGCTAATTAGCTTCCTACATTATTATTTCTCAATTATTACACTAAACCGATTTTTTTTTTTTAAAGTAGGTACATTAAACAGATATTATTTTAATATAAACCTTTATTTGGGGTTGTTTCAGTATTTACTTACATCTATTTTTGTACTTGTCAACTCATATTTAATTTTTAATAGCAATTAAAATAGAGGGTTTGACAAAATTAATTGCTTTTTGCTTTAATTTTTCGTAGTTTTTACTTTTTATACATTGAGGAGAAACAAGAAAAAGCTTTGGTGTAGTATACATACAATGTCATTTTAAAATTGACGATATTATTGTTAATCAAAATTAATTTTGCTAAATACACTGTATTAGTCTAAAGGAAGAATAATTATGATTTTAATGACTAGTCATTCTTTCTCTGTCTCACTCTATATATTTTTTTAATAACACAATAAATGTCAAATTTTTAACAAATAAATATAATAATTAAAAACTGACTTTTATCCTTTTTTTTTTTATAAACTGAAATTATTCGTCTTTCCATCATCCACCACCGTCTCCGGCGGATCCGGCGGACCAAGAGGAAAAATTTCCAGCGAAGAACAAATCATCTCGATCTCTCACAGCTAAATTCGGTATCAAAATATCGTCCACGTCATCATCTTCGTCATCTTCTTCTTCTACTTCTTCTTCCTCTTCTTCTTCTTCTTCTTCATCCATGTTGACTTCTTGACTCATCATATCTTCATCTCCGTTTGTTCCTCTAACGTCGTCGTTTCCTTTCAACGGTGTCGTCGGAGAAAGATGAATCTCGTCTTTAACCGTATTGGACCCAAGAACGGTTTGACCTGATGATGAGTCGGGTTTAGGAATCGGGTTAACGTGTTGAGATTTGTTACGAGTACTACCGGCGAGAGAGTTCCGGTGAGTAGGACGTGGATGAGTGTGTTCTCCGGTGTAAGTGACGATGAAGATATTAGGATCTAAGTTACTTCTTTCAACTTGTTTTCTAGCTAAACATCCTTTTGAGCTACTGCATCTGTAGTAGTTCCTGTTTTTATGTAATAACCACATTAATTTTGAACATCATTTTCCGGAGAAAAATATGTAACATCTCAGAGAAAATTGTGAGAAAAGAAGAAAAAGTTAACCTTGGGTAAGGAGAGCCTTTAATGGGTTTCTGACCGTATTTGCGCCAAGCCCACATATCAGAAGAAAGATTCTCTTGCGTTACATGACATATGGTTCTCTTTTGCTGATTCTTTCTGTTTAATTAGAGCAACAAAAACAAAAGAGTTACATAAAGTAACTTTGTATAGTAAGAGACATTAATGAATCGATGAGTTAACAAAACCTTTTTCTAGATCGAAGAGGAGGTTGGGATTGTTGTTGAAGAAGCTGGTCGCGTTGACCTCTGAAAACAAAGACAGAAGAAGAAGAAGAAGTGGATGGTGGGAAAACCCTAACACCAAGAGGAGGTTTCTGATGATCTTGTGATGATGATGATGATTCGAGATGATGTACTTGTTCTTGTTTCATTAAGACATTAGGAGCTGATGATGAAGCTAAAGAAGGAGGAAGTAGAGGAGGAGGTGACCAAGTAGTAGTAGTAGTAGTAGTAACGGGTAAAAAAGGTTTGCAAGAATCTTGTAGCTCGTTGCAAGAAGAAGAAGTCTCTCTGTCTCCATGGATGTGTGTGAACAGAGGAGAAGGAGGAGGAAGAGGAGGATCTTGTTGTTGTTTACAGTTTCCTCCGTCGTCTTCTTCATGACCAATACAAGGGTTTGTGTTTATAGTAGTAGCTGTGGAAACAGAGGAGCTACAGCTTCTGACGACGGCGTTCAGATCCCAATCATCGGAGGACATGGCGATCTTGAATTCGTGGGTGTTTTTGGGAAAGCTTCTTTGCTTTGTGATTCTGTTGGCGAGGAGAGAGAGAGAGAAGGAGACAAACTATGGCGTAAAGGACGGCGCTGACTTTTTCTTTGTCGAAAGAGAGAGAGAGAGAGAGAGAGAGTATGGGGAGGGATTGGGGCAGTGTTCGAGAGGAATCGATGGGTGGGAGAGAGAGAGCACTTGACTTGCTTATTCTTTTCCATTATTTATACATTTGACAAAACAACAAATTGGTTTTTTTTTTTCTTAAACTTTTGAATGGCTTACACTTTTCCATATCTTCTTTTCTTCTCACCTTTTTACATTATGTTTATAATCTTTTGATAATATTATGATATATGTACCATCATCGTATATGATAATATTTGAAAGAGTACTAATAGGATTCGCTAACTAAGATTTTTTTTTTAAATTAATTGTTTTAGTAATTATTAATTTATCTTTTCAATTCTATGATTTTTTTAGGCTAAATGATAAAAAGTAAATATAGAAAAATGTTTGATTTTGATTTCCGAAGATGAAAAGAAAGTTTTTGGCGTATAGCCAAATTCCGGCTTGTAATTTTTCGTAACGTTAAATATTAGATTATATCAAATTACTGTAACGTGTGATAGAAAGAAAAGTTTATTTATGGTTTTCGAAGAAAAAAAGACAAATTTTGGCGTATAGTAAAATTGCGGCTCGTAATTTTTTAAAATGTAAGATATTAGATTATATCTAATTATTGTAATATGTGATAGAAAAAAAGTTTGTTTATAAAGATAAAAAATAAAATTTTGGAATTAACAAAATTATGGGCGATAAATTTTTGTAACATGTGATATAAGATTGTATTAAATTATCAAATCAAAAATTAAGAACATAGTCCTTGATTTTAGAACATGTTCTTATAACTAGCTATACGACAAAGTTTATCATAACTTAGTTTTAGACTATTCAAAACTTCTAAAAATGGATGGTGTTATATCACATTTTTGGATAGTCCAATGAAAATAATCAAATTTTTGTAGTTTTATTACTTGCAAAAATTAGATTAAATTTATGTAATATGTTTTCACTTTCCAATTATTATTAATTACGTTTAAAAAAAATGCTAACTTACTAATTTTCTGTTAGACTTTTACATCCATATTTCTTTACATCTAACATGTTTCCGTTCATATTTTTCGGATATGAATTTATGTTGTTGTTTTTTTTTGTATTAGAGACAAATGAAACAAGTCAATATTTGTATTAGAAACAAATTAAACAAGCCTCATGTGATGAATCCTTTTTCTATAATAAAACATAAGTTGTTTTCCTAGACAATTTGATTTTTCAGAGTTTCTTCCATGATGAAATACCATTCAAAATTTTAGTCTTACTAGTCTAGGAATCAAAACACTACCTGTTTTATTATTTTGAGATATTCTCGATAAAATACATAGTAGAAAAAAAATGAAAAGATAGATAATAAGTTTTATAATTTGTAACTATTAAAAAAACATTTTTTTGATAAAAATTATATTTTAATCATTTTGTTTGCTTTTAGCGTGAATATCAATATTAAAATTTAAGATATAAACAAAGAAGAAGTAATAAAGCTGTTTAAAAAAGAACGTAACGTATCCTAACCAAAAAAAAAAAAAAGAACGTAACGTAAGTAAAACTGGTTCATTTAAAAGAATCCAAGAAATATAAATGGTTTAAAATTGCATGCACAAAGATCAGTTTCTAGATTCTTTCATCAGAAAACGAATCTCTCATCTCTCATCACTATGATTTAGAGGATATTTCTATGATTTAAAATGCTCACAAGATCTTACAACAATAAACAAAAGTTGAAAAAAAAAAAAGAGAGAAAGAAAAAAAATTGTAAAAATGGGTACGAATAATATTCGAGAACCAAACAAAGCACTAGCTTCACTTGTCACTCTCTATACTTTATTTGTTAAAATCTTATTACAAAGACACACAATGTAATAGAAGAGTTTCTTCTGGTAAATACTAATTTCGTAAGTGGAATTATTAAAGATACAGATTCTTTTGTTCTCTCTCTCTCTCTATACCAAAAAAATAAAATAAAAATCTTATCCCACAAAAGTTTTGCTTTTACTTTGACTTTATAACACAAGTCAAAGCTAGGGACCACTTAATTTAGCGCACGCTAGCAGTTACAAAAAACAAGAAGCGCAAAATAGTCATTCCCAATGTGTTGTGTGGGCTATGATTCTCTACATCCGTTTTCAGTTTACTTCCTACTTCTGATTCGTCCGTTGTTCTTACGCTCCGTATGGGCCGTAGGATTTACGCCTCACAACATATATTGATTCGCTGTGTATTGATTGGTGGAATCTGTTTGTAAGAAAACAAAATTGAAAAAATAGTTTTTATTTTGTTTAATGTATAATTTGTTTGTTTTGGGTAGAATTTTTAAATTATTTTGAGTAAATTGTCATATAGTGTGTTGTTGACTTGTTTCTCAATATTATTTCTTAACTATTTGGGACTCAAGAATTCCAATAACTTAATCATTATTTACCATTGATCTGTTGGAACTTGGGAACCTATATTAAGTATATACTATAGTTTACATGCTTAACAGCTGATTACTAAAATTTAATGCTATATATCTTTTACCTCAAGTATGTTTAAAATTACTTCGAGTATATTGTCATATAGTGTGTTGTTTCTCAATATTTCTTCTTAAACTATTTGGGACTCAAGAATTCCAATAACTTAATCATTATTTAATTTACCATTGATTTGTTGGAACTTGGGAACCTATATTATGACAATTTCCTTGTTAAGTTTACAAGCTTAACAGCTGATTACTAAAATTTAGTGCTATATATCTTTTACGTCAATTATATTTATAATGTAGTTTCATAATAGAACTATTTCATATACCATAATGTAAAAGAAATAGTATTATCTGTCATAAGGACCCGGTTACACTGTTCTTCACTCATTTTGTTTTCTCTACAACAATTTGATCTATATATTATACATAATTTTAAAATGTAAAGTAATGGTCCGGTAACGGCAGAGTACGTATCTAAAGAGTTTGATTGCGTTACAAGTTTTTATGATCTAAAAATAGATATTCCTAAACGAAAATAGCTTTGTCTCAAGTCTCAACTCTCAAGCCACGTACGTCTCAAAGACTCAAACTGTTTTATAATTGCATTAAGAAAAAATCTCTAGTCCTTAATGTTTTTTTAAGATGCCACTAATTATAACGCTTTTAACTTGTCTTTATTCTAAAATAAAACAAAACTTTAATTAAGTTAGGGGGTTAAGAGTATACAGTGTATAAAAGCTTTATCACTTTATTTCGTTTTCTTACTTTCCAAATGACACTAACAAGTTTAGCTATATATTTTCCAATTTTGATCATTTCATTTTCAATTTATCAGTACTTTACAAGCTTCTCCATTAGACAAGTGACTTTCAAAGGAAAGAATTTACAAATCTAAGAGCCATTTGTTGCTACTTACTTCTCGTACAATAATATTATATATTCTATAACAACAACACATCACAATGCACATTACTATGGTTTGATAGATATATCGATAAATATTTATGGAATCGACTTTAAATAACAAAAAAACACCAATGAGAATGAGGAGGGATGGGTCCATTACATGACACGTGAGGTAGACGACAACATGGGATGGATTCTTTTGCTAATTCCTATAAATATCATTCTGTAGATTTGGAATTAATATCGCTCGGATTTTATTTTATCAAAATTCTTTGCTTCTTTTATTCTTTTTGGATGTTGTAAGTTGTAACTTCGCTTTTCCTAAAGAGATATTTTATTTCCTTTTATATGCTTTATTTATCATTCAATTGTGAACCTTTTCATATAACTAAACGAACACATAACACTTTAGAAGAATATTGTTGAGTTTATTGGAACCTTGTAATTTATGTATTCTATATAACAACAACACATGAAAATACACCAAATTGATGTAAATTTAAAATTTTCTTAAGAAAATCCTATTATATATACTATGTAAAAAAGTTCAACATCAGAATTTTTAATATACACTTAATGAGTGGTATACAAAACATAAATCACTCTACTTATTGCAGCAAGTTGATCTTAATTTAAAGCTCGTTGATCTTATCCAGCATAAGATTGAATTGATATAAACCATCTTGTTATATTCAATTTTTGATCTTATTATTTGAGTGTTTGGACTTAGCTTATTCATTTTGGGACTAATTAATTGGTGTCGGCCAGAGTTTGAGTTTCTTAATACCCACGTGTGTCTAAGCCGCTTAATTGTATGTATAATAAAACTAGATTCGGACCCGCGTTATAACGCGGAGGAAATAATTACATATATATAAATTTTATCGGATTAGAATATGTTACATTTTAATTTTGTTAGAGTGCAGTCGATTACGGTAAATCATATATTTGTATAATAAGTTTAAATAAAATAATAAAGTAAAAAGCGAGTAAATAATCATATACTGAGTTTTGATACAATTAAAAACACGGTGAAAATTTAACAGCACTAAATAATATTTGTCGATAAATTATTCATTTTGGCTATTTTTGTAGTAAAAGTAGGAATATACGTAAAAATTACATATTTACAATATAATTTTTGAAAGTCCAACCCGTAACAGAATTCATTTCGTAAAAAACATTATTCGTAACTCGTTATATCATTATAATTGTGATTTTAACAAACTACCCGTGAATTATCTGAAATTTACATATTTTGATATATAATATATTTCATCAATAAAAATTATGTCTCCAAAATTACATTTATATCTTCAAAAGAATATTTCGATATTTTAAATTCTAAAAGTTTTATATGTATGAACCTTTTATTTATAATATTTGAAACTATTTGAAATATTAAATATGCTCATGTAACAATGGTTTTAATATTGGTCATACTTATAATGATTTTAAACCGTTGTCCAAAATATTTAACCGAGTGTAGTTGAGTATTACATGTCCGTTTTGAAAAATTCAAATTGCAACATATGCAAAAAAAAGATTAAATTTTTATTAAATATTATCAAATAAAAGTGAAAGAAGAAGAATAATATTTATGATATAGTATAATATCATAAATTAAAAATAATATCAAATAAAAGTGAAATAAGAATACTATTTTTTTAAAATAGATTGTATTAAATTAGTTAGAGAAATATTAGTAAATATTATAATTAGTTATGAAAATAATACAATCCTAAAATTAGATTTGGAAAGTATCCGGTGTATGTATACAAACCCATTAATCTATCCAATTTTAAAAGATACAATTACAAATTTCGGGTAATTTTTTGAAATTGACCCGACCCGAAAACACTTTTTGTACTTATCTTTTACTAATATAGAGATCATTCACTTATTATTACACAATTTTAACACGGTACGAAAATTCTAGGGTTTATTTAATTTGTATTGTTCAAGTCTCTTAGCTTCGTGTAATGCTTTAAATTATCAACTGTGAAGCGAAGTACTGAAAGATTAGTGCCTACGAAACCGGATTTACGATTTTAATCCAAGAGTGATCTATACCTTAGCTTATGAGTTTTAATATACTTTGTTTTCTCTATATTAAAAACAGTGTATCGAAACGAAACGAGTTAAGAAATCGTAAAAGAACTTTTTATCTCCATCTTACTCTTTTGACTCTTCTTTGTTGACACAGCTTGACACATTAGCTGCTATACATTTTTAATATATGTATTTTAAACTATATAAAAAAGTAAACTAAAAAGAGATAATTCGATGTTATCCACATTATTTTGAACGTCGTCCTAATTTATAAAAATGGATTTAACTTCAAATATCCGTTAATTAATGGGTAATTAAAATCAACTGGGTGTATCATATCAAGTAATTGGATTTGTGAAGTACGTAATTCAGGTAGAAGAGCAGGACCGCCTTACGTCACATGCTTCCCCACTTCTTGTCCAATGCCAATAGAAGGCTGAAACATGCATGTGTTGGTCATGTGAGTGGGAAACAGGTTTCTTTTCATCTGACTATGTTTACGTAAGTCAACGGCTCGAGTTGGATCCTAAGTCCTTTCTCACTCTTGTTGGTCATAAACAACTCTCATCTTGCTTTCTCCCAATTTACTTGTTAATATGTTGTTTTGTTTCCAACTATAGACGCGTAGCTGAAGTAACATATCATCTCCAATATTATATATATTGTCCTAATCACTACTAGCTAGTATAATCTTTTTGCTTATTTTTATAATTTAGATATGACTACTTACAAAGTTTGTTTTATATGGATTCATGTTGATTCCTTAAAATAGTTTGAACAATAAGAAAACAAAAATAAAGTTTCTTGGCTTTACTCCTCTATCCTCCCATGAACAACACAACATAAAATAGTTCGAACAGAACATAACTAGTCCTTTCAAATCATAATTTTGATACTCAAATAAGATTACAATTTAGTTTACATACGTATGTACGAGTTTTTCTAAATTAATATTTCTGTTTATATATATATATATATATATATATATATATATATATATATATATATATATATTCTATGAAAAATGATAGGTTAGCGTATAGATATTGTGAATTTGTGATGGATTAGTCAATCCGGCTCTAGTGATCAAGACTGTGTTATCAACGTACCATATAGATGGGTTAGATTATATCCTAATTTTTAAAGTTCTAGGTCGTGTGTAGTCTTGCGAACTATAAACGTTAGTCGTCAAATATCATATAAGTAACATAATATGATTGACCTATTTTACATTTTAATTAGTCTGCTACAACCATATGCATATTTTATAGTAGAGTTGCATGTATTTTAAGGATCCGATCTGTTTTTATGATTTTAAATTTTGTAAAACAACACGAAAGTTTAAGTTTAACATAAAACCTCAGCTTGCAAATTCGCATGTTAAATCAGTATAGAAGAAGCTGCCAATCATTTACGTAAAGCTCATACTCTCACAAGTTTTAGTGTCAAGAAAATGAAACATTTTAGAAATTAAATGAAAAGAATCACACAAGTCAATAGGGTTTGTGTTTGTCAGGAACACGTGCGTACGTCTAACGCATCTCACGTGACCATTTTGTAGGGAGCAAAAGATATACACACCACTTTGCTGCACACATCCAAGAGTGGAAGGTGGACAAATAGACAAATTGCAGAAAAGATGACCCAACCCAACCCAACCAACCAACCTTCTTTCGTATATATAAAAAAAAGTTGAAGCAAAAAGGCATCACTCTTATTACGAGACATGACTACATTAATCCCCACTATAATCATAACATTCGCTCCTACCCTAAAATAGTACACACCCCTATTATGTTTCACGACTCAAAGATAAGGTACTAATACATCAATATTAAGTTTTTTTTTCCCTTTCATTCATTAGCTAGAAAAGTTTAGAAGAGACATATTACGATCATAACACATAAAATTAGTCTTTTCCCATCAAGGGGTCGGAATCAAAAAAATTGGACAAAAATTGAAGCATGTGGCTTTAATAAAATAAAGAGAAGGTATAGAATAGTAGCAAGTAATATTCCATTAAGTTATTCATTTTGCAACAAACTATGGAGAATATAACCCTTTAAGAGCACAAAAGGTTTCTCATCTATGATTACCAAAAAGAATATGGCTTCACTACACATTACTACATAATTTTTATACCTTTCCTTTTTTTCCTCAATAAAATACCAAAAGACAAGAGATATAAAGAGTGATATATGCTTCTAGAATAACAAAGAAGGAAAAAACAACAAGGAATCAAACCCGAACATCATCACTATATATTCACTCCCAAAGTTACCCATTTCACTTTAATTTTGTTTTGTTTAGTTAAAGAGAAGAGATAGAGATAGATACGTTTTAAATCTGATTAGGTCTTTTAACCCAATGTCTCAATCTAATTATAGGAACTAGATATGCTATTTTAGTTGTTCTACATCAAAATAGAGAATGACTAGTATTAAATAAGAAAAAAACTGTTTTGACTACCCAAAATCGAATCAAGGCGATGATTGTTTAAGCCAAAAAAAATTCGACCTAGTTGTTAGATTTACACGAGGATTTGAGAAAAAAAATGATTAGCTATAAAAATTGATAAAGTATAATACTGTAATTTAGGAACATACATGTAAAATAAAATATTATATTGGGTTGTTTCAAAAAGAAATTAGAACAACTTAGAAAACAAAAAAGAACCTAATGTTGGAGACATGGAAAATATGTGGTTTTGATTAGGCAATAAGGTTATATGATCATATATGATAGGACATAAGTAAAGATGAAATTTTATGATTTTTGGACCACACCCACTATAATGTACATTTCAAATTTGATGTATCATCTTTTTTTTTTTCTTTTTTTTTATCCTAAAGTAAAGACATCCAAAGGGAATGAAATGAGAGAGATGTTTGGTTAATGGTTACAGTTCCTTTCACTTCTTTTTTAGATGATATTGGTTTTTAATAGTTTGGTTTATGTCTAAAAAAAAACAAGCCAATGATAGAACTTGTGATGATCATCAGATTCCAAAAACTCATTCCATGAATCAATTTGGTTGTCTCTATAAGAAAGAATTCGTTGATATCTCTTTTCTTCTTTCGGTAGAGGTGATGGGATGATTGAGAGAACCGACTAGAGCTTTTGGTCCTTACAAAGAGGGGCCATTAGAGACAGAGATAGAGAGAGAGATAAGAATAAAATGATGTGATGGTCACTGTCACTTGGTACTGATTGTGAAATCTTCCATGACCACGTTTTGGTTTTTGTGGGTTTGGTTGGTTTCATTAGGAGGACTGAGGCCAAAGATCGTTTCTGAAAAACTTGGCCCCTCTCCAAAGTATTTTTTTCATTAGTTTGGCAAATGATAGCGATACAAGATCAACCCTAAGTAACTTTTTATTTTCTTGTTATGATTATGTCATATACTCTGTTTAACTAATTCATGTAATCATTGTTATTAAATGGTCCAAAAATATTTATGTGTTGAGAGATTTCTCATTCTCATTTTACAATTATAATAATATTTGTTGACTCAATACTGGTCCAATGAGTGTCTCTATGTGTGCATGAATTCATGATAGCTTATGTAATAAAGGCTTTGATGTTAACCTTCATAACAGTAACAACTTGAGGGAAGAAAAAGTGAGTTTTTTTTTTTTACCAAGCATAAGATCAAAAAGCCAATAGATAAGCATTGAAGTGCAGAAACCAAACAAGTTGAAAGAGTTAAATATGTGTAAAACAAAAAGCTCCATGATGTTCTTGTATTTTAACCCTTCCATAGCTTCAAAACTCTATCTTTACCACCAGAAACTACTTTCTCACCGTCTGGACTCCAATCCACAGCAAAAACCTATCAACAATCAAGAAAACGCAAAGGGTCGTAAGAAGTATGAGAAGAGACTGAATTATCAGTAAAAACTTAAAGCTTGGAAGGTGGTAGTACCTCATCGGCATGGCCAGGAAGATCTTGTTTTAAACTTTTCGTCCTAATTTCCCATATCTGTGAGAGTACCAAACTTGCTGATTTAATATCTCCGGTAAAGAGTGGGGAATGGCATTTCATCATTTACATCACATTATATAGAAAAGCATGTTTTTACCTTGAGAGTAGAGTCTTTACTGCCACTCAAAAGCAGCCTACTGTCTGCGGACCAACTGATCTGATAAACAGGTCCAACATGTCCCCGGAAAGTTGTAACGAATTGTCCTGTAACACCATTCCATAGCCTAACTGATTTATCGAACGATGCACTTGCAATCCATTTTCCGTCAGGTGAGAAATAGACATGATTTACAAGCTGTAGATTTGACCAAAATTTATATATGTAAACAATCAGAGAGTGAACCAAAAAACTTCGGCGAAACGAATGAAGTTTTCAAGTAAGTACCTGTTGATGCCCTGTCAAACGCTTTTTAGATTGTTTGCTAACAGATGGTTCCCAAAGGAACATTGTGAAATCATCAGAACCGGACACTAATCTCTCAGGGGCATCCCCTTTTGCTTTGTTGTATCTTTCGAGTGCCTATAGTAAAAAAGCCAGCAAATTTCGCAAAGGGAGAGATGAAAAATCAGGGTAAAAGGACAAAACTGATCTCAAGTGTGGAATGGAGTGAAAAGCTTACCTTTTGCTTTTCTTCATTTGGAGGATACTGTCGTCCAGTGTGGTCAAAAGCTCCTGTTCGAAGAACATATTCTGTGCTCAATGCAAGGGAGTTAATCCAATGCCCATGCCCCTGAAGAAACAGTGAAAATTGAGGTGGTTAAGAGTGATGCTAGGTGTCTCTGAACAAGCTACGAAACATACATTATGCTTTCAGAACATGAAACACATAAAGCCATCTATCCGCATACAATAGGGCTGGAATTGCTTCAGTAACTGATAATTGAATGTATCTGATATTCAGAGGAAAAATGATCAGAACAAATTTCAAAACATCATAAAACTTTACCTTCAACTCACGAATAAGCTTCCCCTGAGTAGTCTCCCACATCTTAATCGTGCAATCTTGGGAACTGCCAAACACAAAACAGATGTTTAAATAGAATGCAAGAGACGAAGATAATGTTATGTAACTCAGAAGTGATCATGGAGCTTAATCATGGAGGTAAGTACTCAGTGATTAACAAGACAAAGAGACTGCAACTTAAGTTCGTTTCATTATCTGATTATCAGAGATAAGATTTACCCACTACAGACAATGAAATGATCTAAGCTAATAAAGAACAGTGAAATGTCAGTCAACATTTCACATATTAGTAACATACCCTGTATATATAATTCCATCTCCGCCCCACTTGACACAAGTCACAGCAAGCGTGTGTCCACTGAGACAAATTATAGATTTTTTCAGTGTAATATCCCAAATCCTTGCATCCCCATCTTTACTAGAAGTTACAAATCGACGGCATGGAGAACTAAGGTGGACTGGTTCCCACGAGATACCAGTAATCCATTTCTTGTGACCCTAAGAAAAATGTGAGCAACAACTGTAATAAGTAACAAACCAAAACATATGGACATTGGAAACGATCAACCAATATCAGATAAAAAGGACTTACTGTAAGTGGGCTGCCTTCTAGTTCTCCTTTCTTTGGATTCCAACAACAGATTTCGCCGGATTTACTACCACTCACAAGATGCTTAGCATCCGGAGACCAGGCAACTGTGAGAACCCAATTCTTGTGCCCTGAAAAGGTTAGAGATTAAACTATTAGTAGGGATCTACAGAGGGAAGTAAACTGAGGAATGATGGTGAAGGAAATTTCTAACCTTTGCAAGTAAACAATGGAGTTTCAGTGTAGAGATCCCAAAGCCTGACAGTGGTGTCACCTGAACCACTTGCTAATTGCTTACCGTCAGGACTAAATGAAACACAAAGCACAGCTTCCTCGTGACCTATAATTCAAAACAAACCAAGCAACTCAAGTAAGATACTGACGCATAATAGTTAATCACACTGAAAAACAGAACATGAGGTGTTGTGACATACCAGCAATTGTCTGTGAGCAACGATTAACTGGGCGGATTCGAAAAACAGCTTGTTGTTGATAAACAATAGTCAAAACCTTCTCCACAGACACTGAAACACACAATTTTGCAGTAACATTAATTAGATGATCAAACAGCAACAAAACACACCAAACCAAACTAGTTTAAAAATGTTTTTTTACCCACCTTTGTTTTTCTCCAAGTAAGTTCCGACAGGTACAAGGAGCTCTTCGTCTGATACATAGAAACTGTAAGGTAACATCTCCTCCTGAATAAAGTAACCAATACAAAATTCAATTGCATAATTAGCAAAAACGTTCTCAATCCTTCAACCAAAAGAGTAAATGAACACTTTAAAAACAGAGCTGTCATGTTCCTGCAAATTCTCAACTACTCAGAAACGAAAAAAAAATCACTTCTTTACACGAAATTAGAGTCAAAGAAGAGAGAAGAAATGGTTACGTTGTCAAGGAACTTATTGACGAGCTGAGTAAGTTGCAAAGGACCAGCATTTTGAGGAATATACATGGCAGAACCCAAATTAGTTCCTTCTGGGTCTGTTAAGAGACACATCACCGTCTTCCCCATCCCTGCGTCGACCGTGTCCATGGTCATCGTCGTCGACAAGTTTAGCAAAACCAGACCTGTGCTGAAGTAGGTCTTTATTTGCCGTCTGAGTGAAGAGAGAAGAAGGAACCGGGGAACTCAATTAGGTCTTTTTTATTTTATGACCCGACCCGAAGCGTTTAGTTAGTTAATGGGCCTAACACCAACCCGTTTGGCTAAAAAATAAGCCAAAAAAAAAAAATTAATAATTTTATATAAATCGCCGTCTGTGGGGATCGAACCCACGGCCACGTGGTTAAAAGCCACGCGCTCTACCACTGAGCTAAGACGGCTTTGATGACTTATTTATAAGGTTAAAGTATATGATTGTTTTACGTGTATTTGTTAATAAAAGTGTAAATAATTTTTCCTCATAAAATATGTTTAAATTTCTATCTATCTCATTATTATTTAATCCCATACCAGATTATGTAAAAAACAAATATCCATGTCTTTTTGTATTTAAGTTACTTAAAAGAAATTTGTTAGTAAAAATTAAATAAAATGGTGATATTTGAAAAACGTAATTGACAAAAAGGTAATAAACTAATAGAGAATTTTTGAGAAATACCCCTTTTGGTGTAACCCTTTTTAAAAATACCCCTCTTTTCTACCCATTTTCAAAAATACCCCTTTTAAAATATGAAAAATTATAAACTTTTATATGGTTAATAAGGTACATCGAGGTCATCATTACTACTAGAAGACTAAATCCAAATATTTATAAGGTTATAAAAGGTTCTAAACGGCATTTATAATGTTTTTATAAGATTTTTAAAAGGTTTACACAGTTTTTATAAGGTTTTTAAATGGTTTTTAAAATGTATTTATACGGTATTTATAAAATATATATATAAATTTACACACATATAAAGATAATTTGTGTCTATAAATATAAGTTTACACATATGTTTTTGATAAATTTCAAATTTTATAGTGACTTTTTGATAAATCTAGAAAGAGGGGTATTTTTAAAAAGTGGTATTGGAAAAAGGGTATTTTTGAAATTCACCCTAGTAATAATCTCAATGCTTTAAGTTATTTTATTATGATGTATTATTTTATTCCTTAAGTTTTGCTTAATTTTTTCTTAGTATTTGCTTATTTAATTTGGAACCTTATACATTGGTAGATGTCTTAAAATGGGGGCCTAATTTTAAAAATATTCATATTTTATTGTGATTAATTTATTTTAAAAAATTTAACCAATAAAAAACAAACATGTGGGAAAGACACTATCACCTTCCCTTTCCTAATTTTTTTTTTAATTAGTGGATTTAAAATCTTAATAGTTTGCTAATGCATATAACGTGGATTTAGGAAGTGTTTTTATGTATTTGAATTGACATATGATATTAGTAGATTTTAGTGGATTATAAAGGCCAGTACATGTACATGAGTTTTTATTACATATTAAATACTACTGTTATATAAAGAGGGGGGGGGGGGGGGGGTGTTATATTTGAATACTTGTGTTATATTAAGGGGGGTGTTAATCGTACGGGAACAACATACATAGTTTTATAGATTAAGATGTGAAAAACAAAAATGAAAGTAGTAACCAAATATATGAATGTCATTTTCAATTTGTTACACTTTCTGCTAATGTCAAATATATGATATTTGTGGTGATTGTTATGCACTTTATTGTTTTTGAGAATTATGAAAAGATAACTTTTATTGTTTCATCATCTTTCCTTTTTGGTCATCATCATATTATTTTTTTGTTTTCGATAAAAAAAAAAACCGTTTTCTCTCTCGTTGGAGGCGATTTCTTCAAACACTACACCAGCCAAAAACTTCTTTTTTCAGCCTTTGTATCCGGCCGGCGCTGGCTTTTCCGGCGTCGGTCGGCTCTCTTTTCTTCTTCAATTTGTTTAACTTTCCTTTCTTTATAGATTTAGATAATTCTCTGGCAAATTCAGGATCACAAATCCCCTTTCCTTGCCTTCTTTTAACGATTGGTGATGGTTTGTAAAAGTCTGATGACTTCAACCATTTTCACCCTTTTGTTAATGAGACAATATCAAACTGGGGTCGTGTTACAAATTCGAGTAGCACTGGTTCGTCTCTGTCACAATTGGAGCCCTACTCAAATATGCGCCAATTTGATTTCGATTCGAAAGAATCATTATGTCCTTCTGTTTAGAAGGTTTTTTTCCGGTGTTTTCCGGTGGATTTTCTGGTTTTTAACCGGTAGATGTCCTCCTACTCGATGCTATGAAGGTTTCATTTGGGTTTTTGATCCAGGGATCCATGGAGTAAACACTTTGTTTCATGGTTTTGAGACTCTCGGAAATCATATTGAGTGTGGTTTTAAATTTAATATGGGTTTACTCGATATCAACGACTTCAAGTCAATTATATCTGGGGTTGAACATTTTTACTTTGAATGCGGGGTTGAACATTTTTACTTTGAATGCGAGAATGGTTTATCATTATTTGGCCAACTATTTTGTTATCTTCAGCATGTCTCGACGTGGATGGTGGTGAAGATACAATGGTGGGAAGAAATAAAAATTGAGAATCCCAAAGACATTCTTCCGTGGAGTGTTGGTGATGATGATGGTGAGTGTGTTGTGGGACCAAACACATCACAACCTATTTTTTTAAACTACATGCGTCAAAGTCTATGGTCTTCCCCCAAAAGTTTTAGACATTTATTGCCATATGGAAGGAAGGTATTTGTGATTATGTTTAAGAAAATTACAAAGTCAAATTATTTCATAAAGACTTTGGTGCGGAAGCTTTGGTACCACAATGTCTACATTCCAGAGTTATGTTTGGACATATTGGGTTTTCAATTACGGTTAGCAAAAAGAAAGTTCAGCCACAAAATGCTGCATGCAAATCGTAACAAAGAGAAATCAAATATGAAGTTGGACAATAACGGATCTTACGATCGGTTAGCGAGTAAGACTACTCTTCGGAAAGCGTCGTCAATCTCACTTCTGCTGTATTTTTCTTACAATCATACATACATTTGCGTATATAATAATTGTGTTTCGGTAACTCTGTATAATGTCTTTGTAATAACTTTTTTAAATTAATGAAAGTCTGATTTTGCTGGAAAAAAAAAAAAAGGTCATCATCATATTATTTCATCATATTACTATTTACTATTGAATTGATATCATTTCATAGCTATTGTCCAATAGTTGCGTCAGACTCGATGCGTAGTTGGACTGAACTTGAGGTGCAGTAAATTTCAACAATGAAAAGTTGAAAACGTATAAATCATACCATTACCATTGTTTCGACACAAAGACAAAACGTCCATAGCAGTATTTGTTATTTTTAAATGACAATGTGACATAAACACAAACGCAAGGTTCAAATGAGTTCCATTCACTACTTAACAACGGCTGAGATAAGTCTCGTGAACAAGTTGCGCAGTTAAGAGATCTACAGTACCCGAACCAACGGACTTAAAAACCGTTATTTCTGTTGAGCTCTTTCTCCCTTCTTTGTCACCTTTGATCAGCTCCACCAGATTCCCACAAATGTCTTCTTTCTTAATCACTCCTCTCTCAAAGGCTCCCACGAGCTCTCCCGCTTCTACCATCGCGGTGTCGTTATCGACGAACACGCTTCCTCTCTGGATCGCATTGTCGTCACATTCCCTCATTTCATGGCTAAACGATCCAACAAGGTCAAGATGAGCTCCGGGTTTCAAGAACTCACCTTTGACCAATGGAACAGTTGAGTTTGTTGCACAGCTTATGATATCTCCAAGAGGAATGATTTCATCTAACGAATCGTGGCTCTCGAACGAGATCTCCTTGTGTTGAGTATCCTTAGAGAAAGTCTCAGCTAAATCCTGAGCCTTTTGTGGAGTTCTGTTCCATATGATCACTCTTCTCAAGCTTGGTTTAGCAGCTAGATGAGATTTAATCAGGTGTGGTGCGAGAGCACCGGAACCAACCATGATCAGCACTTGACTATCGTCTCTAGCCAGGATGTTGGAGCCTAACCCTGAAACAGAGGAAGTACGGTAAAGGGTTAAAACAGTACCGTCCATTGAAGCTAGGGTTTGGCCTGTGGTGGAGCTGAAGAGTGTGTAGGATCCATGGATCCCAGGTAAGTTCTGAGAGGAGTTATGAGGGAAATAGGTCACGAGCTTGACGCCCATGTAAGGGAGAGAAGAAGAAGATGACCAAGAAGGCATGAGGAGGAGTGAGGAAGGTGGTGAAACGGTGTAGTTTTGTCGGACAGGGCTTGTGATTGTTGAAGAATGTTTGGGAAGATTGGTCCGGAAATGATTGATCAGGGTTTCATGTGAGAGGATTGATGGAAAAGAATCGGCTGGTATGAAAACTGGTAATGCAGCCATTGAATTTGAGAGATCTGTTCATTCAGGCAGGATATGATGGTGGTTTTAAGGAGAGGAAAGGGAAGAAGACAAACCCAGATTGGCCTTGACTTTGGTTGGGTCGCGATTCGCAAATGTCTAAATCAAAGGGTATTTCGGGGAAGGACTTAAAGATGAGACTTGAATAAGTGACTCTTCTGCAGCAATCCACCACTCATCATCATCTTCCTCGCAATTCTCCTGTGTGCCAAAAATTAAAGAGAGATTATTCTTTGCATATATTCGAGAAATTAGACAGATCATTAGTCAAGAACATGAAGTCAACTCACCCAGGGATGAGGTTCTAATGTCTTGGGTTTACTTTCAAGATCATCTGCGACTTTGGCAGCTTCAAGCCACCAGGAGCCTCTGCTAGCTGCACTATCTGGATCACATTCGTTATCAATGTAACATTCTCCTTCGGAGTAAAGAGTGTCACAGTGATTCGTTGTATCTTCTTGATGGTAAACCGTATCTTCGGGAAGAACACTATCTGGAACTGGACGTATTGGAGACCTATAATCTGCAGACGATGTGGTTTATCTTAGGAATAAGGTTTTGCTTTCAAATGGTTTGCCAAGACAAAGAGTAAGAATAGTATACACACCTCGGCAGTCTGGATCGTAGCATTTCTGATAATAGATTCCCCTTCTGAGATCGACTATGTACATAACTAAAAACAACAAAGCTTGTCACATATAATTAAAACAAAAGTGAGAAGAACTCGTATAAGCACAAATGGGTTGTGAGCAGATGGTACCATGATTGCTTTTATGTTCCCTGCCAATTCGTTCGCAATATCTGTTTCTTAACATGCTGTACACAATCAGGCTATCTTCTGAAAACCAGTACCAGCATCTTATCTTACCTAAATATCACAGCAATTGTTTTAAGAAGATGAGCACTGTGATCTCTCTATAACACAAATGCTGCACTTATTTTAAATTTAACCTGAGACATCTCCCGTGGAAGCAATGGATACTATGAATTGGTCCAGGTGTGGGAACGGGGACTTGCCCCCGAAATATGATGTTGACATGTCACTTGTGCAAGTGTCCAACTGAAATTGCTGAGCATTTTGGTCTCGTACAAGATTGTTATTGTTCACCTGCCATTTCCAAAGAGTACAGTTTAAAGGCATACACATGTGTGGAATCTTCCTTCAAGTATATGTTGATGGAAGATGCAACTGGAAGCCAAAAGCACAAGTGTCAGGCAAATGATGAAAAAATTACCTCTGTGTCAAAGCAAAGTGTCTTCATACAGTCTGATTCCATCTTGCAAACCAAAAGCTTTTCACAATCTGATTCCACGTTGCAGATTAAGGATGTCATGAAAATATCTTGCTCACCCTGTTTATTTACCAATGATCTTGTTAGATACTGGAATTACCATGACCTCCTCTAAAGCAAAACAAGAAGTCGACACTGAGACAGCAGAGAGACTCGCATGAAGGTGGACTTACCATATTCTTACATTTGAATCGTCCTGTAGGAAGAAGAACTGACGTCTTTCCAGCTTTTGATGATAGTGCAAGACGAAAGCAACGGTTTCTAGAGTAAACAGCAGTATCCACAAAAAGTAGGGATGCCGAATCATTAGCCTCTTTGTGAACAAATAACTTGTGCAATCTTTCATCTTTCTCCTTCGCATTTACTATCCGTGTGCATAGCTGAAGAAAAATCAAGATGAAAATGAGCCATGCCCCACAGAACTTCCCAACTTGCAATTTAGGAAACCATCTTTTGAGGCAACAAAAGTGAAATATCGAGTGAAGCATACCTCTCCTACAAAAGCACCAACATGTAAGTTGTCCTTAAAGGCAACCTTTGGAATGATGACAACTAAATGACGTGAGAACTTATCTGCATATGAGTTTTTACGGAATCATTTAGTCAAGAGAACTAACCTTTGCATACAGAAGTATAAAATAAAAAATACTTTACAAACTGGCATTTCCAAAGCTCAGAGAATAAAGATGAAGCAAGAAGAACACCACATACTCAACTAGCAACTGGGAGAGCATATATATTACTGTACCTTTAGTTGAGGAATCAAGCTCTACAATCCAGTCCTCTTGTCCTTCAATAGCATATTTCTCGTGCAAGGCTTCTAGAATGACTGATATCAAGATATCAACCATTTCATCGACATTTTTTCCTTCGTTTTCTTTCAGACTGAACTCCAAATCAAAGTACATATGGCATGGCAATCCCTGAAAAGCCATTGCAATTAAATGCAGCTATCCAGAAGACGTAAAAATAGTTCATGGCAGTACAAGGGAATGAGATTTAGATACCTCTTGAATCACTTCATAATGGTGTCGGTGCCTTGGATCCATAGATGTGTATCTAAGGTAGAAGAATAAAATAAATAAAGCACTTGAGAGCAAATTTCCTGGCTAACAACACTCAAAAAAATGTTAAGAAAGTGAAAAAAGGAACCTCTTCCAGAACTCTTCATATGATGAAACAAGAAACCTTCTCTGGCCACTAAAATGATCTTGATAACTAAAAATCCGCACATTGTCATGCTTTTTTCCAAACTTCATCGCTTCATCTTGCCGAGGAAATGTAGCCCAAACTCCTTTCCTAACAAAAGTGAAGACCGTGCCATGATAAACTACAGTTACTATCTTCCAAAGGACAAATTAAAAATCTTCCAAGTAGCATTAAAAGCCAGCACCAACTTATTCATAGTTACCTGGAGATTGCTTTCCTTTCTTCACTGAGATCAATACGTATCTCACGCAAGAGCCTTAACAAACTCAACGGTCTTTTCGGAGGAACACCATTCGGAGACCCATAAAACACAATTGGTGAAAACTGCCTCCCAATGCTCTTTTTCACATTCCTAGAACCAGACTGAGATAAGACAATCATAGTTAACTCCACAACAACTTAAACACGACAAGTAAACAACTTTGGGTTCATGATACTCACAACAGAGTCTAGACTGTCACCTCCATCAATCTGATTTCTCTGTCCTTTCCCAGACAATCTAGACAAAGAACTTAGCTGCAACTTCTTACAAGTCCCAGGAGAATCATTCTCTGGATTCAACATTTTCTTGCTCCGTTTCTTTTCTCTCATAGCAGAAGCTGAAAACAAACTTTCAATCATTTACCAATAAAATCTCACATTACCAATAGTATATTGCTATACTAATACACTCGTGGGTTATACTACAAAGATCTCAAAACTTTCTGTAACAGGTCACTGTATAGAAGAACATAAGATTCAATCAACAAAAAGGGCAATGAATCTCTCTACGAGCAAACCTAAAACACGATTCCATTAGATAGGAGAAAGTGAAAGAAGCTCACAAGGCGGAGAGATTCCACACTTGAAACACTGGAACAATCGATCAACATCATCCATGGCGTTCGCGCTACGTTTCTTCGTCATTTCTTCTCCTCTCTTCAGTCTTCTCCTCACTGTTTCACAATTCTAATTGGGCTCATTGTTTTGTTTTTCATTTCCCCCTTCCATGGGATTTGAAATTTTTCGGAAACAAAAATCGAAAATTTGGTTTCTTCTGTTCACCACAAAAAAAAAAAAAACAACAGCAACGTCATCTTATCCACGTGTCTATATCTTAGTGGATGAGGTTTGAGAGTTGATAACACTGCCTCCTGTTTGATAATTAGAGATAAAAAACACTGTGCCGTTTTATATTGCTTCTTCTACTTGTCGTGTTCATGGTTTTAGAGACGAACGGCGCGATTGCCGTGAGCAAAACATTTCGTCGTCAAGTGACGTTACTGGCTCAGTCGCCGGAAACTAAAACGGAGAAAGAAGAAGCTTTCCTGTAAGATCAATGAACACCAAATTAGAAATGTGATGCAAAATATTAGTAGTCTAAGTTTTTGCATCACAATCGTATTCAGTGTTCGTCGATCTGGGTTCGTCTACGCCATTCTCGCTTATTGCGAAGTTCCAAGGTATGGCAAATCTCATAACAAGGCACCAATTTCTAAACTCGTCGAAGTTTATGACCTAATTTCAGAGTATTCTCAATTTTTTTGTGATCAGGTCTTTTCTTCAGGAATTTTCATATGAGATTTTAAAAATCTGCCATGAATCGCTCAACATCAAAAGTTAGTGTCAATAGGTACGTTGCTAAGTTTTGTTTTCATTATGTAAGTCTTCATGAAAAGTGAGAATTGAATAAAGTATATGCTAGTGGAGAATGATTAGTTCATATATAGAGAATTTGTTAGCAGGAACCTGAAGAAGATAATGATGTTCATCCCATATGATATTTTGATTAATCAATTATGTGCTTAGCTAATTTGAATTATGTAAGCAGTTTTGTGTCTTCCTTTCATTAGTTGGTGGTGGAGTTGGCCAATTTGTTAAAAGGAGCTTCTTAGTTTTGTTCTTCTGATAAGGATGTTCTAAAGGTCATTTCTTCTCTTGACCCTTCCAGATATTATTATTGCTGTGGTGTTTTGAACCGTCATTTGTATCTTTTGTGAATCGGTCGCTATCTTGTTGGTGTTAACAAGGTTTATTTTTTTATATCTTTTATCACCTGCTTCTTTGGAACTTACTTTGTTGTATTGGTGTTTTTGAAGATCCTAGAAATACTTAAATAGGTTTCCTGACGTCAATAGTTTCACTTGCTCTAAATTGACAATGCCACTAGTTGCATGCTGTTCTCCTCACACCTATTGTATGAAAATAATTTGTAATATCTACTAAGTGAGTCAGAAAACCCTCAGTGGGAGCTCTCTTTACTGAAAATGTCATAACTCAATCTTGACACCAGCTCTGTACTGAGCATTAAGTTTATTATCAGCTTTACTTGCTGTCTTAGCCAACATCACTGCATAAGACGTTCTGGTATTTCTGTCTGATATCAGATTACTGGAGCATGATAGTTTGACAATGATTGGAGATAAAGACTTAGCACAAGGTTTTTCTTGTGGACCAATGACCAAAATTTTGATTATGAATGCAAAGGTTGATACTTGATACAGAAGGGATTTTGTTTTCACCTTATGTAATAGCTGATTTCATAATGAAAGTACTTCCTTGTCATAAAAGTTTGGATGGTAGTTCTTGGATCATGTTCTCCTGGTGCAGCAGTTGGTACACTATGTCATCCGCTGCTACTATTTAAGTTCCTATGATACCCGAACTCATTCACTCTCAGTCTCAACATTCATAGTATTTACCTTCTAAATTACTTAAGAAAATGGCAGCAAATGATGTCCCTTGCTGTGAGACCATGTTCTGGGTGTATCTACTTGTATGTGTTGTTCTAGTGGCTTTCGCAGGTATAATGTCAGGACTGACTCTTGGGCTCATGTCCCTTAGTCTTGTCGAGCTCGAAGTCATGGTCAAAGCCGGTGAACCCCATGAGCGCAAAAACGCTGGTCAGTTTCATGATCCCATTGACCTACTCATACTTTGTTACTCTATATTCATACTAAAACCATTTTTTAAAAATTGCAGAAAAGATTCTGCCACTCGTTAAAAACCAGCACCTTCTCTTGTGTACTCTCCTCATAGGCAATGCGTTGGCAATGGAGGTATTAAGCTTATGCGTGTATCTGTGGATACAACTTATTTGTGTTGTGCACACTTTGCCTTTTTAAAAGATCGGATTCAGTATATACTGACTATGTTTTTAATGATAAATTCCAAAAGGCTCTACCGATCTTCGTCGATTCCCTGCTTCCAGCTTGGGGCGCTATCCTGATATCTGTGACTCTCATACTTGCATTTGGCGAGGTGATCAGACTTTGAATTAGCTTTTCTCTGCTGATGTGATATTTAACGCTGTTCAATAGCGTACTGTTCATTTTCAACTGTTGTAGATTATACCTCAAGCTGTATGCTCTCGGTACGGACTGAGCATCGGGGCAAAGCTATCGTTTTTGGTTCGGTTGATTATCATAGTCTTCTTTCCATTATCTTATCCAATCAGCAAGGTGATTCAATCATCTAACATCAATGGACCTTTTAGTGGAATCAGATGAGTTTATGGTTAAGCAGAAATCATTTGAATGTAAAAGAATTCTTCAAATTTATCTTCTTTTAATGCTTCAGCTACTCGATTTGCTGCTTGGAAAAAGACATTCTACACTTTTAGGACGAGCAGAGCTCAAGTCACTTGTCTATATGCACGGAAATGAGGTTCGTTTCAAGAATTTGATATGCTTTTAACTGTTCTGCCAATATGTAAGGTGAATCCATGTCTTTTTCTCTACTTTCTCTGTGTCCCTTTTCTGATAATTAGGCTGGAAAAGGCGGGGAACTGACTCACAATGAAACAACAATCATCTCAGGAGCTCTGGACATGTCTCAGAAGAGTGCCAAAGACGCAATGACACCTGTCTCTGTGATATTCTCACTCGACATAAATTCTAGGCTTGACGAGTATGTTCTTCTTTTGGATTTATCCCGTTTGGAAATAGATATCCACTTTGTTCTTTATCCTTATCCTTCTCATTGGGATTCATAGTAAGACAATGGGATTAATAGCAAGTGAAGGCCATAGCCGTATCCCAATATACTCTGTGAATCGAAGTGTTATCATCGGATATATTCTGGTGAGTAAGCAAAGAATATATTGCACGTGGTAATCTTGAGAAACACTTACAGGATTTTGAATTGGGTTGAATAGGTCAAGAACTTGATCAAAGTCCGTCCTGAAGACGAGACACAGATCAGAGATCTCCCTATCAGAAGAATGCCCAGGTATAGACTTGTATAGGCTCTCCTAACTAAACTGCTTTTGAAGCTGGGCAGGTCAAAGCTTATTTTTCTTCCAAATTGCAAGCAGGGTCAATTCAAATTTACCTCTATACGATATCCTCAACATCTTCCAAACGGGTCGAAGCCACATGGCTGCTGTTGTTGGGACCAAGAACAATACTAATACTAACACTCCTGCCCGTGTCATGAGCATCAATGGTTAAGAGACCTGTATCTATAAGAGAGCATAAAATCCGAAATCATATGAAGTACTGAGACGAGAATAAATATGACTTCTTTCGTATTCTTTCAGGAACGCTTAATAAAGACGCCAACGTTGTTCCTGTGATGAACTCCAGCGAAAGCAATAGTCAAAGCCCAATCCGATACATTGATAGTATTGCTAATGAAGATGACGAAGTCATTGGGATTATAACTCTGGAAGATGTTATGGAGGAACTGATACAGGTAATCGATATTATTCTTATATCATTACAAATCTTAGTTTACTAACAGAATATTTGTGAATATTTGTTTGAAATAACCATTTTTTGAACCTTGTAGGAAGAAATATATGATGAGACAGACCAGTACGTCGAACTTCATAAAAGGTATGATCACCATTTATTAATATAAATAGACTGCAAGTTATAGAATTTTCCACTGAATTTTGAATCTTTTTTCCTTCTATAGGATAACAATAAACATGCCAATATCGGAAAATTCACCGGAAACTACCACTTGGGCTTCGGAGTTGGCATCTCCTATCTCGCCCTATCGCTCAAGTCCTCTGTCGCCGAGCATCATGATCTCTACGCTGCTCCGATCACCGATAAATTCACCTTACCGTCAGTCTCCATTTTTCCGGCCAGCACTTCAGGCTTCTCCACCTGCACAACCTCCTTCCGTGCTCTCTCCGGACAGTAATGAGCGTTTTCACTATTTGTCTCCTGGAAAGGTATGTAACGTGAGCCTCAAGAAAAGTGCTTTACTGTGTTTTTCTTATGCTGGAATTTAATTTCCCCTCTTTGCGTTTTGTTTTTTGTTGTTGCCTTGTAGGTGTCGAGGAAATCGTATGAAAAGCTATGAGCTGAAGAAAAATGCATATTCTAATTTTATTCCATGTTCTTAAAATTGAGAAAATGGGTATTATAATTTCCATGAAATGAAGAAAAATAAATAAACAAGGATAAAATAGTATGAAATGTGTGGTAATGAACATATCCCAAAGATAAAGACAAAATATACATACATATGCCACCCTAAAGATTAAACCATATCATATATGGAGATAAGATGAATAAAGAAAAACATTAGAAGACTAAGAAAAAGAAGATGAGCTCTCTGTTGTGCTCACACCATCTACTACCATTATCATCTCTCTCAAGAACAACTCTAAAAACTAAACCTCAATATCCAAAAACCCTAATTATTCCTAACAACAAACCAAGATGGGAATCCAAGGTCCACGCAGGACCCAAGGGGTTTCAATCTACTAAAAGCTCTCAAAAACCAGGCCGGCCAGACCCGGACCCGGAAGACGACCCGCCGATACCTCAAGAAGTGTTCGAGAGGATGATGGGGAGGATTGTGGTGTCTGTAGGAACACCACTGGGGTTGGGAGTGGCAATCTTGAAAATACTCGAAGTTTTGAAGGATAGAAACGTATGGGACGTGCCTTTGTGGGTTCCGTTCTTGACCACACTCGTGACCTTTGGTTCGTCGGCTCTTGGGATTGCGTATGGAAGCTTGTCCACAAACCTGGACCCGACCAAGACTAACTCTGTTTTCGGACTCAAGGAAGCAAAGGAGAATTGGGTAGAGATGTGGAAAGAAGATTAATGATGATAATTTATGAATGCTTTTGTTTTGTTTTTTGGTCTATGTGGAACAGAGCAATAGATTTGACTATTTGATGAACTTCAAATTATAATCGTGTCACTGGTTGTGGCGTATATATGTTCTTTCCGAACAAATGAAAAGTCGTGTGCTTCTCTGAGTTCGAGTGTGGTCTTTTTTTGAGGAGAGTAGTAGAAGTTTTGTGTTCTATATGTTGCCTATGTGTTTTTAGTTTCAAGTAGCATATTAACGTCAGGCACACATGTAAACCTATTGTTTCGGTTGGTAATTATTTTTGATTGATGATCAAATCTTGTGTTAAAAACGATCGACTAAATAACATATGATCAAACTACCAGTAAGTAACACAAGATTTATGTTTGGTTGCAAAAATACAAGTAGCACAATACTTTTGTTGGATTTCAAAATAAACTAAATTCATAAATCCACATTATTAGTTTTTTAGTTTTCTTTAGCGGTTCGTATTTAGCAAAATGGTACGAAGACTTGACGAGTTCAAGAAACGAAATATCTTTGTAATAAGCCGTAATTAGTCATGCCCACATGTTTTATAAAGAAGACTTTAAATCTTGACACTATCACTAGCTCGCTTATTGTTTAATAGAAATTTGCATCCATATTTGTGAACCGATTCAGCCAATCTTATCACAACATATTGACTACCAAGTTTACAACGCTAAAGACAAATTATTGAAGAGAAGCCTACGTACGTGACGTGACTAAAATCATAGGGGAAAAAACTTAATTATTACTAGATGATTAAAAGTAAAAGTTAATACATGTTTGAAATTGGTTTTAAATATTAAAAATTTAAGTTTTAATTTTGTGGTATTTTTGGATTTTTTATTTATTTTAATGGCAATTTTGAAAAATAAACTTCATTTTAATGGTATTTAAAAAAAATAAAATTTTAAATATAAGTTTACGTCAGAATTCGCATATGATGGTAAGAGTTGTAAATCTGTATGTTTACATATCAATAGCATTGCTAACGACCAAAAAAATACGATGGTAAGAGTTGTAAATCTGTATGTTTAACACATGGTTGTACCTAGTTTTCGATATGGATTTTAAAAAACTAAACATATAATACACATTAAAGTGTTTCTTTGATTAAATATTTTGATTAGTTAAAAATAAATAAATAAAATGTTTGGAATTAATAAATAACACCAAATTTAAAATTGTATCAAAACTATTGGTTAAATAATATAATTTCAAAAAAAAAAAAAAAATCTTAACTAAAGTAACTTTTTTTTGGTGGGCAAAGTAACTAAAGTAACACAAGATTAATACTATCTGGTTGTAAAGAATAAAATAAAAAGGTAACAACATTTTTCTTACGTTTCAAAATAAACTCGATTCACAAATCCAAAATGTTGGTTTCTCATATGATTTTATTTTGGTGAATTCATTTTTATATGCAAAATGGTAAGATACGAAGAAGACTTGACGAAGTCTCCATATTAGAGTCAAGAACCGAAACATCCTCGTGAGCCTCATCTGATCATGTCGTGGATCCCCACAAGGCCACAAGTCATACACTTTTATTAATTTTTGTTTTGTTCAAGAAGACTTTTGAATCTTGTTGACTCTCTCCATCTATTTTTCGTTATAATTTCACTCATTCGTCACTTATTATTCATCATTATTGTTTTTATTTTGGACAATCCAAAGTATATAATTACGTGACCGATCTTGCATCTTGACGGAGTTGAGAGAGACTTAATTTACTATGTATGTATATATTTATCGAATTTGTGTACAAATTATTGAACTGATTCAACCAAACTCCTCGAAACAAATTTTAGAATACATTCAACACAGGAGAAAAGTCTACGTACGTGAATGAAAAGACTAATTATTAGTAGATGATTATGAGCAAAAGCTGATCATTTAAAATCAGTTTTGTAATGCAGATATACTTTTCTTGTAAATATATATGGCTTTTTTTTACTCTTCCCATTCAAAACGTTTGCCTTTTCTAGTTAATGGAGACAAAACTGCATGATGTAGTATAACCTAAATAATAACAAAAATGTTTACATATGTATAAATTTTTGTTATAATTACAACCGCACCGTAGTTGTTCAGCACGTTACTAACTTACTATTCAGAACCTAAATATTAATATAAATTAACAATATTTGAAAGAACTCTATAGAAAAATCACATAATCACACAAGTATTGGGTTGATGATAGTAAGGATCTGCATAGGCACATGCAGGATTGTATGAGTACGGGGAGTTCATCACAAATGGATATGAAATAACCGGAGCCGGTTTCTCCGGTTCAGGCTTTTTCTCAGGTGGTTTAACATCATCTACCGAAACAATCTCTGCGTTACATAGCTTCCTTAGCTTCATCACTATAACCGATACATCAATTTCTCCAACTACCGTCAGTTTCCCTGCTTTGTCATCTATTGTTATCGAAGTTACACCTATATTCAAATAAAACTATATATTATTTCATGAATAAATATGTAACATATCCCTAACAATATATCATACTACATATGACTATGTAATTTACCACACACAAAAAAAAACATACCAGGAAATCGAGAAACGGTCACAAACACCTTCTTCCTTGTTCTCTCCTCGTGATGAATACTCAATTGCAACACAGCTTTCTATCATCATTTCAAACAAGAGATGATTAGTATCGCTAAATTATATATTTTACTATAAGTCATATATAAATAATTCGATATCTTAAGAGATAGATATAAAGCCATGTATGAAGTGAAGAGGTGTACCTTCGCGGCCATGGTTCGATAAAATTATGGAAAAAGCTTCAGAAAGTTTTTCAAATAGAGGAGCTAGGGATAGATTTTGAGATATGGTGAAGTTTCTTGATACCAATTGCAAAGTTCAGTGATACCTGTTTAAATAGAAACTTGCGTATTACATCGACTTAATCATATGACCCACAAGCGTTTTGTATTTTCTTGTATCAAATAGCATTATCAACGACCACAAAAAAAAACGAGTAGAGTAGTAAAAAGTTTTATTTAATTTTCTTATAAGTATTTATCACAAGTTGGTTTAAATATATAAATTTTAGTGTAACGAAACTAAAGGGAAGTGTAGTATGTTTTTAGAATCCCGCGTGTACGTCAGGAAGTATTATTTGACTCTTTGGTCACGTTAAGGACTTCTCTAGAGTGTTGGAAAAGTTGAATCACATATAGAAACAAAACTCAAACCAAAATACAAGTCACAACGGTTCTTTTATATATATAATCTTTGTAAAAGATGGTGAAGGATCGAGATGGGAACGGTGAGAATGAGAAGGGTTCAATGTTCTTGTCGCTTGTCTCTAGGTATGGTAGCAAATAGCAATATTGTTGACCCGAAGTCAAACGAAGAAGAATTCTAAGCTGTCTTGAGAAAAGTTCAATGCCATATTAAAGAAAGAGAAGAAAGTAACAAGTAACGTAGTATTTTTGTGATCGTCTAGGTTTTGTGGCTGTCATGGAAACGAATATATAGTTGCAGAAACTGGATTACATGTTTATTTCCTAAGATCAAATTGTGGTAGCAATAGTTTTTTTTTTCTTTTTTTAATGTGTGCTAGATTTCAAAATATACAAGTAGAGATGTTTCTTATTTTTTTTTTGAAGTAAATGCGTAATGAATTGGGAGTATTATCAAAACAGGCACTTGTTAAGAGAGAGATTTCAGATTAGGCATTACTGTAGTAGAAGGCACCACAATACACAAAAACATCACTGTTTATGACTCTTTTACCCTTGGCTGGTGGACAGGAACTTGAGTTGTTGTTGGAGGGATTTTGGACATGACATCAGAAGAGAGAGCGGAGTGGGTTTGAGTTCAACCCACACATGCCCCCAAGTGGAAAGCTTTCGATCTTGTCTACCATATTCATGGATGATGATGATGATCTTGCTGTAGATTGTAGATTTTTACTTAATTCTCTCTGCAAGGGTTAAAGTTTTTGTGATTGTAAATAAAGACTATTGTTTTGGGATTACAAATCTACAATTTATATTACAGAGATGATCATTATATACAAAATTCTCCAAGAACAAACAAGATTAGGTTTGTGTTCTAATAGAGTTGTCGTACTAGTCTTTCACCTGCATCGACGGTGTCTCTTCATAACGTTGTCGTCATTGTTCTGTTTTTCAAGATACGCCAACAAAACATTGATACTATTCGTCTTTCACCTGCATCAATGGCGGCTCTTCTTCATGTTGTTGTCATTGTTCTCTTCTCACGTGACGCCATCAAACCATCGATACTATTCGTCTTTCACCTGCATCAATGGTGTCTCTTCCTCATGTTGTTGTCATTGTTCTGTTTTCAGGTGACACAGACAAATCATGGATACTATTCGTTTATTCCCTTGTGATTACATTATGCAACTTGACAAAGTCATTTAAGGTAAGCTCTTCAAGCCTTGACTGCAAGAAAAATATATGTTTAAAGGTTTGAGTATTGACGCCAGTTTAAAGATAGGAGTTTGATGTGGAATTTGATTTAGATATTTCAATGTTAATTTAAATGCAAGAACACTAAACCCTAGACAAGGATGAGTGAACCCAAACAGATGAATATACAGTAGGTAATTCATAGAGAATATTTTTCTTTTTATAAAACTAAACCCTAGTAAGTTGTAAATGAGGAACCCAAACACAATGTCTAAACTAGTTTACGAGATGGAAAAAATATAAACGAGATAACACTGTGACATTGTTAAGGTTAAGGTGATACATATATTAGCTAATGAGATGATTAAGTCTAAATGAGATAATACTAAACCCTAAGTCAAGGACTAATGAACCCAAATAGATTAGTGTACCGATTTAAATAGCTCTCAGATTGCTACATAAAAACAACTACAGAGTGTAAAGGAACAAACCTCATCTCCCTGAGCTTGATAAGCCCAAAACTTGGTGGATTCTGTATCAGAGGTCATCATCCTCATCTTCTACAACTCAAATCTTCAAAATAGAAACATAAACTAAGGAAATAGTAAATGAACAGAAACTAGAAAACACAGACATAGAGCATTAAGACATAAATCACACATATCAAATCTAAGCAAAACGTGTAAGTAGTTCTCTCAAATTCCAGCAAGAAGCACTTGTAACATACCACATGCTTAAGAACTACTCACAATCAATAAGAACAACAAAATTTCCCTTTTAGCTCGCAATTCTAGCAAAACACAGAAATTTTCAATTGTCACATACTTTAGCTAATCGATTGCAACTTTGAACAGAAGATCGAGGAGATTCACCTGTTGCTGGAGGCGAAATAGAATACAATAATGATCGAGGACGAAAGGAGCGTGGGAGCGAGGGATGTCAATAACGGTAATGTCACCGGATTGAGTAGAGTTTCGGATATAGAGAATGATCAACCGTGAGTGATAAGAAAAAGAGGAGAGGAAGAAGAAGCATGAGATGGTGATGTATGGAGATAAATTGGCTGCAACAGCATCGTCTTCAGAAAATATTTTAGATCCATGATGAGAGCATCAAGAGAGCATCAATCGCTTCCCAATTTGCATGTGTGGAATCCATCGTTGATTTGTTTTTTCCTAGGTCTTCTCTTGTCGGCGACGAGAATCGGCCGGCAATCTTCAGAATTGGATCGTTTTTTTTTTTGGCGAATTGTGTCGTGAAAAAGAGATATGACATCATTGTTATAAGGGTAAAGTAGACAATTTACAACCTATTGATACCTGTTTCGGAAATGTTTTGGAAAAATACCTAAAATGAAAGGACAACACAAGGAAAGTGCCTTTTTTGTAATTAACTCTAATGAATTAGCTAAATAACATCATTTTCTCTTTTTAATTTACGCACATGCATGGCATTGGCATGACTTCAGTCTTCCAAAATAAAAAGATTAAAATCATCTTTAACTATAACACGGTCGAATTAAACAAACCTTACAATAAGAGAATTGTGCTCAAGAAACTAAAGAATTAAAGGCATAGAACAAATATGGTAAGCAAAAACGAAAATATAATAGACGCCAAAAAAAAATAAAAAAAATAGGAGCACGCGCAAAGAAGCTAGAACAAAAAAGGAAACATGAATATAATTTCCAAGTAGAGCCAAAGTTAAGTAAAGGACCACTAACTAATTTCCAAACATGAATATAATTGATTTTTGTTCAGTAAAAAAAGAATATAATTGAAAAAGGTTTTTGATTAAAAAAAATAAAATTTAAAAGGTTCTTTCTTTCCTTAAACTAATGGGAAAGAGTTCACTTTTGGGTTTTGGCCTTTGGGATAGAGACTACCAATGCTAAGAGCAACATTATTGGAAGAATTTAAAGAGAATTTAAAGTTAAGATTCACCAAAGATAATATGTTATATAACTACTGAATTAAAGTGTTTAGAGCACCTTTAGGCTTAATTACTATTGTGTGTTTTTTGTTGGTTATTTATTTAAAGGGATTCAGAAAGCTGATTACATGCATGAACCATTATGAAACAATTTTTCTATAAAGTACTAACTTTAAAGCTTAAACAAGGAGCAATTATGTATTAAAAGATGGATTGAAACGTGAAAGGAGTTTGATTAAAGTGTCAGGAAGACGTGGTACCATGCATCCTAAATGGCGATGAAAGTTTCAATCGTATAAACGATATCTTATCATCTCAATCAAGATGTGGAGATATATAACTCAAGTAAATGAAACCTTATGAATTCTCAACTTCTCTTGGGTTAGGTTAGCCATTTTCACATTACGAAAAGAGAATTTAAGATCTTGAGATTCTTGAGTACTTTTCGGAATTCGTGTGATCACATGAATATCCCTACTATAGTAAAAGAGAAGTACAAAAGTTTCTTGGGTCGGATTTTTTTAAAAAATTAACCCGAAATTTTTCAATTGGATCTTACTAAAAATTTAAAGATATTAAATACCAATTTCCATATATATTATTTCGAAATCTACCAAATTAAACCATCAATATCGGTTTTGGAAATTACATTAATCTTAATTTGTTTAAGAAAAAATACATTAATGTATGATTTTGTATATTGGTTTAACAAATTAACCTAAAAATCAGAAATATAAATTATATATAAAATATTTATCAAATTATCCATAATATTTCAAAACAAAATGTTCCTTAAATATCTTATATTAATATTTAGATGTATAGTTTTCTTCTATATTAACTATGATATTCACACCAATTACGGGATAATTCATTTTCAACCATCTTTAATATATTTATTTGGCAATAGTTTCGAATTTACTTGATTATAAAGCTAATCTTTTTTTCAACGCTAACCTAACTCTAAAAAAATATTATCTATATAAATAAGTTTCTGCTATCAGAAAATTGTAACATAAACACAGATTTTACATTTTAACACGATAAGAAATAAGAAATCATTGGCTCTTTATTTGTTTATTCTAGAGATTTGCAATTTTACAAAACTGCATGAAAGGTCCAAGTTAAAATCATGTATTTATGATTATGCGGTGTACCGCGGATCAATCCCTAAACTTTAAAAATGATTCATAGTATAATATTTATACATGTATATATGTCACATATTGTTCTAAAATTAACAATCCAACTAAAATCATACAATTTAAATAATTTTGAACATATTCGAAACCAACACAAAAATACAATCTAAAAATGATAAAATTTAATTAATAATCAAAATAAAGTAAAGCAAACACAAATAAATTATCCCGCAACATACAAAGTATTAAAAACCCGGTAATTTTCCCCCGCGCTGTAGCGCGGGTCCGAATCTAGTTATTTAGAGTATAACAAGAGTTTTGTTCGATTTCAAAACCAACTTATTTCATATATTTTTGATTTTGAGTTTGAGTATTTTAGTTATTTATTTGTGATTCATATTACTATATTAGGAAAATGGTAAGAAGAAGACTCGAATAAAATAAAATTTCAGAGTCAAGAATGGAACTATCCTCGAAAGCCTCCAGTGCCATGTGTGGATCCATCGATATCGACATGTGGGGATCTCAGTGTTTAATTTTTTTTTTATTATTAAAAGGAGACTTTCTAATCTTGACTCTCTCCATAAACCTCATATATATCTCAATCTCTTTTATTTATTTTTTTGTTCAACATATATCTCAATCTCTAATCGTTCAAAATTATTATAATTTTGGATAATGGAATTGTATTACGTGAACGACCTTCGTTCTTTGATGTTCAAATTTGAGTTGAGAGCGACTTAACTATATGTGTGTGTCTATATTTGTAATAATCGATTCAACCAAAATCCCTCCCAAAATATATATTAGTAAACACTAAACTATAGCTAGAGACAATGAGTAGAGAATCTATTCAACATTAGAGAAAAGTCTACGTGCATGATTGAAACCGCAACGAAATTGACATTGTTATTACATTCGTATGAGAAATGGATATTACAAGTAGTAGTAACCCAAAAAAAAAATTAAAAAATTACACTCTTCTATCAAAACTAAGTGTTGGATAACTTAAAAAAAATTATTTAGAAATGACTCTAGAAAAACATTACATAATCACACAACCAGGTTCGTCTACAACAACTCTAGAAGTCTCATATGGTTGATAGTAACAATTTGCATATGCAGGATTGTATTGGTAAGGGTTGCTCATCTGAACCGGCCATGCAACTATTTCCGGTTTAGCTGGAGCAGCTGGTTTAGCTTCCGGTTTTTTCTCCTCGGGCTTTTTCTCAGGTGGTTTAACAACTTCAACAGAAACAATCTCTGTGTTACATAGCTTCCTTAACTTCATTACGATAACCGGTACATCAATTTCACCAACTACCGTCATTTTCCCGGTTTTATCAAATGCTATCGAAGCAACACCTATTTTATTAACAAATAAGAAATATCATGAATAAAAATGTTAATATATATCCAGAAGAACAAGATCTAATTACAAAATCTTGGAAATGTAATTTATAAAAAAGAAAAGAAAAGAAAAAATTACCTTGACATCTAGAAACGGTGACAAAAGCCTTCTTCCTGATTCTTTCTTCGTAAACACTCAATTGTAACACAGCTTTCTGTCATTTCAAAACCAGAGAGAGAGATCAGTATAGTTTCAATATCAACTCATGATTCTTATAAAGAGAGATATAAAAAAGAAGTTAAGGGCTTACCATTGGAGTCATGGCTCGAGAAGAAACTAAAGAAAAGCTTCAGAAATTTTCAATATGTTTTGAGAGACAGAGACAGAGAGAGTGAGATGAGACAAGAGAATGAGGATAGAGAGACAGAGATAGAGAGAGAGAGGATAGGAGAGATGATCTTGATAAGATATCGAAGCTTCTTGATAACAATAGCAAGTTCAAGTGGCCTTTAAATAGAAGAAATTGCATAGAAATTTACTACTATGGTTATTATTTTTGATAATATAACCTATTAAAATTTTATTGCATTTTAATGAAAATATATCAAAAAAGGTTAAAGCAGTCATTCTTTATTGATTTTGTTTGTTTTCTTCCTAGTATTTTAATTAAAAGATTTGATTGAAAATATATAACTTCGGTATAACGAAAGCACGTAGTAGTCACTAATCAGGATACCGCGTGTACGACTAGGACAACATTGTTATTTGTTGACCTCTCCATTGACTTGTTCCGGTCATAATGAACTTATCATTTTACAAAGCAAGTTTCCTATAGTGTGCTCTTGGTTAAGTTGATGAATCACACATCTAATCCAAAGCTGAAATCGAAATCAATCTCTACAAGGAAAGTGGAGACTATCGCCCTATCACCTTATGTAACATGCACTAGAAGATCATTGCCAAAATATTGCTCATCTTTCCTCACCAGTTAGCTTTTGTTCTAAACCATGTCATCTCAGACAATGTTTTCATCACCCACGAAATCCTTCATTTTTTAAGAACTTCATAAGCCAAAAAAAAATTACTTGATAGCCGGTCAAGATAAACATCATCAAAGCTTATGATAAAATCGAGTGGGGTTTCTCTAAACGATTTTAGAGGGACTAGAGTTTCACAATAAGTGGATATCGTGGGTACTAAAATGTGTGAAAATTGTCTAACAAATTCCTCATCAATGAATTACCTAAAGGACAAGTCATCCTTTCAGGAGGTCTTCGCCAAAGGGTTTCGCTTTTACCAGTATCTCTTTTATCCTTTGCACGGAGGTGTTATCAGGACTATGTCTCAAAGTGTAAGCCAAATGTCTCATTCCCGAAAAAATTAAGATCTCAATTCTTGAGTATTTTTTGGCTTTCATGGTGTACATGTTAATGATCACAGGAAACAAACACAATTTGTGTGAAGTTACTTTGTGCATTCTGATTTGATTAGTAGATAGTGAGACTAAGTTAGTGTCACATCAAATTTTCATTATCTTGTAATTCTGATTAAACAAATTTTTGCATAATGCTTAATCGATTCCTAATCAAAAAGATATTGTTTTGTCTCTTTTAAAGAGTTAAAAAAACATTTTCTGTGTTTAGGTTCTTCTATTGAGTACAAAAAATAATTTTTGTAGTCTCCAAATAATCCAATAGCTTAAGAATATATTTTCTCCTCAAAATGCTGTCAAGATCTTTAGTTTGTAATATAAGAATATTAACAGAATGACCCGTTGACCAAAAGAAAAAAAAGAAAAACATAACCCCAAAATCAAATTTAATTTGTATTTAATAAAACATGCAGAAAAAGACATGGATTAATCATTACACAAAATGTTTGTTAGATTTCAAAACCAACTCAATTCATATATTTGATTTTTGGTTTTTGATTATTTATTTAGTTATTTATAGTGTAATTCATATTACTATATTAGCAAAATTGTAAGAAGAAGACTTTGGATGATATATAATAATCTCAGAGTCAAGAATGGAACTATCCTCGAAAGCCTCCAGTGCCATATGTAGATGGGAATATTATCTCTTTTGCCAGTTTGAAGGCCCAAAAAACTGAAACTGCCACTTTCCCCAATCTATTTTCTGTAGTGCCATATTACATTTTTAATGCAGAGACAAAAAGACTCTATTATCCTTGTTAAATGATAGCATAAATTGTACTGAATTTAAAAATAATACAGGATGGGCCATGTTTTGCGTCAGCAAACAGTTGCATTTAATAGTTGGGATGTAGCTTAATATCCAGAGGACAATTGAATACGGCAGACAAGATAGATACTAAAAATCAGTGCAAGTATTGTCCATCATTATTGGCTGAAGAAGGAGAAGAGATTTTCGAGTGTTGCAGCTTAATTATGGCGGACAAGATAGATACAAGTATCGTCCATCATTATTGGTTGATTTTTTTCACTACCCAACATTATTACCACACTAACATATGTATTATAGACAAGTTCGTTTATAAAAAAATGACTTAGTTTACTATATACGCTACGATGAACAACAATTTAGGAAACAAAATATGAACATATTACAGACATCACATCTGGTCCATGGGATCTAGTCCACGGGATATGGTATACCAAATCTAGTCCATCGGATCTGGTACACTAGTGTCATCTGCTATGTTGTCTACATAGATCCTAAAAAACAAAATTTGTCCATCAATAAATAGAAAATGGAAAGGACTAATGGTATCCCACAAAAATATAAATGGTCCATGTCATAGTTTACATGGGCTGCGGAAGGTTGTCTATTGGACTAACTGATGGACAGTTTTGTTCTGTAGATCCGATGGACATTCTGTAAAATGAATGTTAGAGGACAAGTTTAATTTGTGAACAAAAGAGAAGTGAGATCTGGTCTACTGAAATAACTTACCCTTGGGTCTGTTGATGGACAACTCCGGGAATTTCATCTGACGCATCGGACGGAATATAAGAACTGTGGAAGACCAAAATTTGGGGATAGATGTAGGAGAGACCCCTTGTCTTCCCCCTTCATCGAAATTTGGGGAATGGGTCTCGGAAGGATCTAGGGTTTTGGAGGACTCGAGAGGGATGTGCCCTACAATGTCAATAGTCGCGGCGGGTGACTCTATGGTTTGAGCGGCAGCGGGGCTGTCTTTGACGACAACTTCGGCCGTGGATTAGATTCTGGTTTGAACCGGTGAACCTGGCTGCCCGGTATATCGACGGCGGGTATATGAAACGGTGGATCGTCAGTGGACATAGGAACAAGATCAATCTGAGAAGTTGAAGATGGGTGAGTAACTTTCATAGGAAAAAAATTGGAGAGAGTGAGTTAATTATCCATTAGTTATTGTGTTAATTTGGAAAAAAAAAAAATTCAGTCGTTGTTGAATAGAAGCGAACAGTCACCTTGTAAGAAGGTAAACCTTTTTGTCTTTTCATTCAACAGTACTAATACAGAAAAAGAAGAATTGAGTGAAAAGGGTAAAATCGTTTTCTCGCCATGGCTGTGTGGCAAGCAGGAGAATGAATGGGAGAAATTGGTATTTCCCAAAATTTTAGTTACTGTACATGTCATTCTGGGCAATTTTCTCTATGTAGATCCATCGATATAGACAAGTGGGGATCTTCTTGTTTAATTAATTTTATTACTAAGAGGAGACTTTCGAATCTTGACTCTCTCTATGATCTCATTCATACATATCTTAACCTTTAATTGTTCAAAATTATTTTAATTTTTGGACAATGGAATTGTATTACGTGAACGATATTAGCTCTTTGATGTTCAAATTCGAGTTGAGAGCGACTTAACTATATGTGTCTGTGTTTATATTTGAATACATCGATTCAACCAAAATCCTTCCCAATATATATAAATTAGTAAACACTAAACTATAGCTAGAGACAATGAATAGAGAATCTATTCAACATAAGAGAAAAGTCTGCGTGATTGAAACCCCAATGAAAATGACATTGTTACATTAATTTTAAAGCTCCTATGAGAAATGGATATTACAAGTAGTAGTAACCCAAAAAAAAATTAAAAAATTAAACTCTCCCATCAAAACTAAGTGTTGAATAACTTTAAAATAATTATTTATAAAATGACTCTAGAAAAAGTTTACATAATCACACAACCAGGTTCGTCTACAACAACTCTAGAAGTCTCGTATGGTTGATAGTAACAATTTGCGTAGGCAGGATGGTATTGGTAAGGGTTGCTCATCTGAACTGGCCATGCAACAATTTCCGGTTTAGCTGGAGCAGCTGGTTTAGCTTCCGGTTTTTTCTCTTCGGGTTTTTTCTCAGGTGGTTTAACAACTTCAACCGAAACAATCTCAGTGTTACAGAGCTTCCTTAGCTTCATTACGATAACCGGTGCATCAATTTCACCAACTACCGTCATTTTCCCGGTTTTATCAAATGCTATCGAAGCAACACCTATATAACAAATAAGAAATATCATGAATAAAAATGTTTATATATATCTAGAAGAACAAGATCATATTACTAAATCTTGAAAATGTAATTTATAAAAGAACATACCTTGACATCTAGAAACAGTGACAAAAGCTTTCTTTCTGATTCTTTCCTCGAGAACACTCAGTTGCAACACAGTTTTCTGTCATTTCAAATTCAAACCAGAGAGAGATCAGTATATATATATAGTTCCAATCTAATTATACATAACTATATACTATGTAATCAACTCATGATTATTATAACGAGAGATAGAAATGAAGATAAGGGCGTACCATGGTAGACATTGCTCAAGAAAACTAAAGAAAAGCTTCAGAAATTTTCAGTTATCTTTGAGAGAGAGAGAGACAGAGAGAATGAGAGGAGAGCTAGGAGAGATGAGCTTTGTAAGATATCGAAGCTTCTTGATGACAATAGCATATCCAAATGGCCTTTATATAGAAGAAATTGCATAGGCATTTACTAGTGGTATTATATTAAATTTTTAATAATATATAACCTATAAAAGTTTTTTGCATTTTAAAGAAAATATATCAAAAGCTTTGGCAACCACCGCAAAAAAGGTTAAAGCAGTCGCATTCTTCATTAATTTTGTTTGTTTTTTTCCTAGTATTTTTAAAGGATTTGATTGAAACTATATAATTTTAATATAACGAAAGGACGTAGTATTCACTATTCAGGACTCCGCGTGTACGACTAGGAGAACGTTGAAATTTATTGACCTCTTCATTGACTTGTTCGAGTCATAAGAACTTATCATTTATCAAGCAAGTTCCCTATAGTGTGCTCTTGGAGAAAATAATTAAGTTGATGAATTACACATCAAAACGAAAGCTGAAATCGAAATCATTCTCTCCAAGGAAGTGGAGACTATCTCTCTATCGCCTTTTGCAACATGCTTTCACCAAACACTACAAGATTATTGCAAAAATTCTCACAAAAATGCTCCATCCGATTCTACCATTGCTCATCTCTCTTCACCAATTAGCCTTTGTTCTAAACCATGCCATCTCGGACAATGTTAAAATCACCCACAAGATTTTTCACTTTTTAGAACCTCAAAAGCGAAAAAATATTGTTTGATAGCTGACTAGTTGTCAAGACGGATATGAGCAAAGTTTATGACATTGTCGAGTGAAATTTTCTCTAAACGATTTTAGAAAGACTAGGCTTTAACAATAAGTGGATATCGTGGGTATTGGAACATGTGAAAATTGTCTCTTACAAGTTCCTCATCAGTGAATTACCAAAAGGACACCTTATCCTCTCTCGAATCTTTCACCAAAGGGATATGCTCTTACATTATTTGTTTTCTTCTTTGCACGGAGATGCTATCAGGACTATGTCTCAAAGCGCAAGTCAAAGCTATACTTCCTGCTTTATGGAAAAAAAGAAATTAAGATCTTAAAATTCTTGAGTACTTATCTGATTTCATGGTGTACATGTTAATGATCACAGGGAGCAAACACAATTTGTATGAAGTTAACTCTGCATTATGAATAGATTAGTAGCTACTAGCTAGTGAAACTAAGTTAGTGTCATGTCAAATTTTGATTATCTTGTAATTCTGATTAAACAAATCTTTGCATATTGCTTAATTTATTCCTAATCAAGAATAAATTCTTTTGTCTCTTTGAAAGTGTTAAAAAGACATTTTCTCTGTTTAGGTTCTTCTACTGAGTATAAAAAAATATTCTTGTAGTCTCCAAATAATCTACTAGCTTAAGAATAAATTTTCTCCTCAAAATGCTGTCAAGATCTTGAGTTTATAAAATAAGAATATTAATAGAATCACCCGTTGACCAAAAGAAGAAAATAAAAGAATACCCCAAAATCTAATTTAATTTGTATTTAATAATACATTCAAAAAAACATGGATATTATTAATTACACAAGATTTTTGTTAGGTTTCAAAACCAACTCAATTCATATATATTTTGATTTTGGTTTTTGATTATTTATTTGTTTTGTGATTTATATTACTATATTTGCGAAATGGTAAGAAAAAGACTTGGATATATAAGCTCAGAGTCAAGAATGGAACTATCCTCGAAAGCCTCCAATGCTATGTCCCATGTGTGGATCCATCGACATAGACATGTGGGGATCTTCTAGTTTAGTTTTATTTCTTTATTAAAAGGAGACTTTCGAATCTTGACTCTCTCAATCTCTAATTGTTCAATACAGTTTTAATTTTTGGACAATGGAATTGTGTATTACGTGAATGATCTTAGTTCTTTGATGTTCATATTCGAGTTGAGAGCGACTTAACTATATGTATCTGTGTCTATCTATATTTGTATCCATTGATTCAACCAAAATCCCTCCCAATATGTACATATATTAGTAAAAAAAACACTCAACTATAGCTAGAGAAAATGAATAGAGAATTAATTCAACATAAAAGAAAAGTCATTATTGAAACCGCCATTAAAAAACTTTATTGTTATTACCTGATCAATTTTTATCATACATTGATATAAAAATTCGTATACGAGAAATGGATATTACAAGTAGTAGTAACCGCAAAAAAAAAATTAAAAAACTACACTAGTACTCTTCCATCAAAACTAAGTGTTGGATAACTTTAAAAAAAAAATTATTTAGAAATAACTCTAGAAAAAATTTACATAATTACACAACCAGGTTCGTCTACAACAACTCTAGAAGTCTCGTATGGTTGATAGTAACAATTTGCATAGGCAGGATTGTATTGGTAAGCGTTGCTCATCTGAACCGGCCATGCAACAATTTCCGGTTTAGCTTCTGGTTTTTTCTCCTCGGGCTTTTTCTCTGGTGGTTTGACAACTTCAACCGAAACAATCTCTGTGTTACATAGCTTCCTTAGCTTCATTACGATAACCGGTGCATCAATTTCACCAACCACCGTCATTTTCCCGGTTTTATCAAATGCTATAGAAGTAACACCTATTATTAACAAATAAGAAATATCATGAATAAAAATGTTTATATATATCCAGAAGAACAAGATCATATTGCAAAATCTTGAAAATGTAATTTATAAAAGAACATACCTTGACATCTAGAAACAGTGACAAAAGCTTTCTTCCTGATTCTTTCCTCGAGAACACTCAGTTGCAACACAGTTTTCTGTCATTTCAAATTCAAACCAGAGAGAGATCAGTATATATAGTTCCAATCTTATTATACATAACTATGCATAGTTTAATCAACTCATCATTCTTATAAAGAGAGATAGAAATGAAGATAAGGGCTTACCATTGGAGACATGGCTCAAGAAAACTAAAGAAAAGCTTCAGAAATTTTTGATATGTTTTGAGAGATAGAGTGGGAGAGAGGATAGGAGAGACGATCTTGAAAAGATATTGAAGCTTCTTGATGATAGTAGCAAGTTCAAATGCCGTTTATATAGAAGAATTTAATGATATTACCTATAAAATTTTATTGCTTTAAAAAATAATATAATAGCACTGTTACGACCGCAAAAAATGTTAAAGTGGTCATTCTTTATTAATTTTGTTTGTTTTTTTCCTAGTATTTTTAAAAGATTTGGTTGAAAAATAATGAATTTCAATATATATAACAGTAGCAAGTAGTATTATTCACTATTCAGGATCCCGCGTGTACGACTAGGAGTATGAAAAGGTTGATTTTTTATTGACCTCCTTATTGACTTGTTCGGGTCATAAGAACTTTACCAAGCAAGTTCCCTATAGTGTGCTCTTGAGAAATTAAGTTGAGGAATCACAAGAAAAGCAAAGTTTAAATCGAAATCAATTTCTCCATGGAAAGTGGAGACTATCACCCCCATTGAAACCAAAGCGATGATATTGCTTTATGCAATGTGCACTACAAAATTATTTCCAAAATCTTCACAAAGAGGCTCGAGCAGATTCTACTGCTGCTCATCTCACCAATGAGCCTTTGCTTCATCACTCACAAAATATTTCAGAACCTCAGAAGCCAAAGAAATATTGCTCTATGGCCGTCAAAACGGACATGAGCAAAACTTCTCATAAAATCGAGTGAAGTTTTCTTTAAGCGGTTTTAGCCAGAGAGATTAGGCTTCACAATAAATGGACATCATGGGTACTGGAATGCGTGAAAACTGTTTCTTACAAGTTCCTCATCAGAGAATCACCAAAAAAACAAGTCATCTCCTTTCGAGGCCTTCGCCAACGGGATCCGCTTTCACTGAATCTTTTTATCTTTTGCACAGAGGTGCTATCGGGACTATGTCTCAAATCGCAAGCCAAAGGTCTCTTTCCCAAAATTAAAGTAGCTCGAGCTACCTCTTTTTTTCCCTCAACATCAACCACCTCCTCTTTGCAGATGATACTATATTTTTTTGTAAGTCTAGTCTGAAATGTTTTTTTTTTGGGATAGTCTGAAATGTTATTTGGCCATAACCAACATCTTTGAACAATAATGACGTTATCTCTTAGCAAATTTTTTTAAGGCAAATACTGTTATGCAAAATCTTTTTTGGAATGCTTCTCCCCATCATCGACCTCGCATGGATGGCGTGGATTTTCTTAGGACGTGATCTCCTCCAAAAAGGTTAAGGATGGTCAATTGGAGAAGGGAGTAAAGTAAGGATTTGGCAGGACCCGTGGGTATCCTTACACCACCCTCTCATCCCAGTTGGCCCACTGCTTCGATGTTGGTCAAGGAGCTTCAGCTCCCAAGCTCAAATTAGTGGAACTCCCTCGCTATTCAAAACATCTTACCTCAGCATCAGGACTCTATTGGTGATATCTACACAAGGATACTTATTATTTACAAGATCTCTAATCTGGCTATTGAAAAGATAGGAAATATACTCAAGAAGATCAGGTAATGAATTAGCTCAAGCGGTACCTAGGCCAGAGCTAATGAACCAAGGCCAATTTAGTTGGAACAGAAGCATTTGTCAGTTTAGAACAGCCCCAAAGAAACATACTACTCTGTTTTCAGATTTCCTCAAATTTGTGAGTTAAGCTCTATTCGGATTCCCAAGTCCTCGTCTCCCTCCTCAACCCAAAATCATGCTCCAAAAAGCGGAAAGCGATCATTTATGACATTTCTTGCTTCTGTGTGGAACTTTCTTCTGTCTCATTTCATTTTCTCCCTAGGTTGGATAATGTAATAGAAAACTTTTAAGCTGAAGCTGTCTTGTTTGCAACAAACTCTTTCTCCTTTCGGAAGTGTAATCGTTCATCTTTCCTTTTATAAAATCAGTTTGCCCAAAAATAATAAACATGTGGGGGGTCTTCTATTATTTATTTTATTATTAAAAGGAGACTTTCAAAATTTTGACTCTCTCCATGATCTCATGTATATCTCAATCTCTAATTGTTCAATACTATTTTTATTTTTGGACAATGGAATTGTATTACGTAAACGATCTTAGTTCTTTGATGTTCAAGTCCAAGTTGAGAGCGACTTTGATTTACTATATGTGTGTGTGTCTATATTTGTATCCATTGATTCAACCAAAATCCCTCTCAATATATTAATAAACACTAAACTATAGCTAGAGACAATGAATAGAGAATCTATTCAACATAAGAGAAAAGTCTACGTGATTGAAACCGCAATAAAAAGGACAGGTTGTGTGTTATTAGAGAATTAAAAGTACAATTTAACAACGTGTATAAAAATCAAATTTATCATACATAGATATAATGAGCTCATACAAGAAATGTATATTACAAAGTAATAGCCCAAAAAATTTTACACTCTTCCATCAAAACTAAGTGTTGAAATAACTTCTAACATTATTCGATTATGACTCTCGAAAACAACTACATAATCACACAACCAGGTTCGTCTACAGCAACTCTAGAAGTCCCGTATGGTTGATAGCAATAATTTGCATATGCAGGATTGTATTGGTATGGGTTGCTCATCTGAACCGGCCATGCAACAATTTCCGGTTTAGCTGGAGCAGCTGGTTTAGCTTCCGGTTTTTTCTCCTCGGGCTTTTTCTCCTCGGGTTTTTTCTCAGGTGGTTTAACAACTTCAACCGAAACAATCTCTGTGTTACATAGCTTCCTTAACTTCATTACGATAACCGGTACATCAATTTCACCAACTACAGTCATTTTCCCGGTTTTATCAAATGCTATCGAAGCAACACCTATTTTATTAACAAATAAGAAATATCATGAATAAAAATGTTTATATATATCCAGAAGAACAAGAACATATTACAAAATCTTGAAAATGTAATTTATAAAAGAACATACCTTGACATCTAGAAACGGTGACAAAAGCCTTCTTTCTGATTCTTTCCTCGAGAACACTCAATTGCAACACAGCTTTCTGTTATTCCAAATTCAAACCAGAGAGAGATCAGCATAATTTCAATCTAATTATACCTAAACTATGCATAGTTTAATCAACTCATGATTCTTATAAAGAGAGATATAAAAAGGAAGTTAAGCTAAGGGCTTACCATTGGAGGCATGGCTCGAGAAGAAACTAAAGAAAAGCTTCAGAAATTTTCAATATGTTTTTTTAGAGAGAGACAGGGAGAGAGAGGGAGGAGAGGAGAGATAATCTTGATAAGATATCGAAGTTTCTTGATGATAACAATAGCAAGTTCAAATGGGGTTTAAATAGAAGAAATTGCATAGGAATTTACGAGTATTATTATATTAAATTTTAATAATAAGACCTATAAAAGTTTATCGCATTTTCTTGAAAAATATATCAAAAGCTTTTGGCAACGACCGCAAAAATTTTTTTAAAAAGAGAGAGTTAAGATAGTCATTCTTTATTAATTTTGTTTGTTTTTTTCCTAGTATTTTAAAAGATTTGGTTGAAAAAGTAATAACGAAAGCACGTAGAATTCACTATTTTGGACCCCGCGTGTACGACTAGGACAACGTTGATTTTTAATGACGTCCCCATTGACTTGCCGGGTCATAAGAACTTCTCAAGCAAGTTCCCTTAATAGTGTGCTTTTTGATAATTAAGTTGATGCATCAATTCAAAACCAAACCTAAAAATCGAAATCAATTTACAAAAAAGGACTTAAGTATTAAAATCATAAAATATCGATCTAATTCAATAATTTTATATAAAAAAAATAATTCGAACTAGACATGTATTAACCTAAGTTTATAAACAAAACAATTCCAGTTAATCGGGTAATACAGAGTATATTATGGTTTAGTCATGTAGAGTATATTATGGTTTAGACCGGACCAGCTAAACAACAAAAGACATTGACGACGAATCTACGACGAAGCTGATAAGTGAATAGTGATGGGACTGTTCTTGCTAACAAAACTGATCCGACCAAAAATAATATTGCTTTCAAGAGGTGACGCATGCATTGGGATCGTCATTGCCACATCTGTAATATGGGTAATAAGGTGGTGGACATGGTGAAGGGACATAATGACAAATCACTTCTGGTGGTTTCGGTTCATCAGGTTTCTTCGGTTCAGGTGGCTTCTTCTCTGGTTCCTTAACCGGTCCAACCGAGATAATCTCGGTAAAACATACCTTCTTCAATTTCTTCACAACTATATAGGCATCAATCTCTCCGGTCACGGTTAGTTTACCGTCTTTCACGTCCACTGCATTAACTCCTTCATTACAAAATATCTAAATATTATTACTTATGAAGTACTTGATCAAATTTTAAGATAATTTTTTAGGCTTAATGAGGTGAAATAACTTATAGATTAACACAATTTGATGAGTATTATTGAACCTGAGAGACCACATACAGTGGACATAGCTTTTTTTTTGGTTTTTTCACAACAAAGACCCAATTTCAGTACAGCTACCTGTAAACATGATAAAAGAGCTAATTAATTAGAATATCATTATGACGTTTGATATATTGCTATTTTCTATAAGCAATAAAAAGAAAATAAAATTAAGAATTATTTGTACATATATTAGAAGCTTTGTTGAAAAGCTAAATTTATTACATAGTTTGGGCTGATAAAAAGGCCGTAAGAATAAAAGAATAAAAGTAATTAGACAAAGCCAAACAATGAACCCGGAAAACATGAGTTGGGGGATTCGTAGGTGTGGTGAAGCCCACGATCATCAAGGAGTTATACAAAAATGTGTTATGGAAAGAAAAATATCGAACCTGCATTTTTCTTTGATTAGTGGTGGTGGTGCCGTGGTGATTGGAGAAATATGTCGAAGTCGTGGGTTTCTAATGAGCTTTGAACTTGTCTCCTTATATAGGCAAGTTGCAGCACTGCATGAAAATATTTTTTCAAGGAAATGGGAAAATTTAAAGTGATTGTGAAATTCTTAAGAAAATAAGACAAGGAAAAATAAACAATTTTCTTGTAACGTTGAAAATGAAAAAGATTATGTGTCTTATTCTTCATTTTCTGTTTTTGTTTTTTTTAGACATTATTTGTCGATACAAATCTACAACCCAGTCTGTACTTTACGGAATAATGCGACTTTCTGAAATCAAATTCCGATAGAAAACTACAAAAATGAACCGTTAATCGAGTATGTTTAAAGTGTTTTTTTTTATTTGGTGGGATTTCTCCACACATATGCAATACTTTTAAAAGTTTTAAACATTTTTTTTTTGGTGAACTAAAAAAGTTCTAAACATAATAAAAAGTAAAATTAATATTATAACTACATGTTTTCTTTGTCTGTTAAAATAACAAACTAATATCTAAAAATAACAATAACTAAATTTTCATTTTCTTTTTTTCGATAGAGCATGCTTAATTAGGCTTACATATTTTATTTGATAGAAACATGTATTTCTTTTGGTGGAGATTCAATTTAAACCAAATGTTGGACCACGAAAGCGAGATATCAGTTGAATAAAACTAAGATGGACAAACCAACAAGATTGCAACGACTAAAAAGCATTAATAAGTCTCTAAGTGTAGGAATAATTGTGAACCAATAATTTGTTTTTTTTTTCTTTTCAGTTACCTAGTTTCCAGGCAATTACTGAGCCGGTTTTGTTTTCATGGTGTGTTACGTACGTTGAAAAGGTTTGGTCGGATTCGTTTGGAGATATAGTTCTGACCAGATCGTTGTTTGACTTGTTCCGAATGTTATTTATGCATGGCTACGAAATGTTCACCTAACCTATAGCATTTTGTAGTTTATGTTGTGTACGAGTTTGAGTATCGAGTCTCGACGTGAGAAAACAACTAATTTGTTCGAGTTTAATTTGCTATATGATTTTTAAATCCACGTTAAGATTCTTCCGTCCATCAATTTCGGTAGTTAAATTTTGATAGTCGATTTTTTTATTCAGTCTTAAAGATGCAAAAACTCTATGTTTACATTCTTTATTTTGGACTTGCAAGTACTGGATACAAAAGTGTTTAAGCGTAGTTTACATCGAAATATAATTGAAAGCTGTGAACATAAGATGTTTAACTTGTCGCATATAAATGTGAGTTTGCTAACCCCAAATTCTGGTTTATTACATCATTTTTGGCTGAGCATTTTTTTTTATTGTTGTCACTTGTAATAAATTAATACATGTGTATGATCACTTTGTTTGCATATATTCTAAAGTTTTTTAGTTTGATATATATATGCTCAATTTAATGTAAACCGTTTCAAGAAAACGCTGCACTAGTCGTACAATAATATTTTTTCAGATGTATTCTTAAGTAGTGGAGTTTTTGAATGGAGCCATCCTTTTATAATTTATAATGGCTTCATGTTTGTTGTTTATTTCATAGCAATAAATAATGGTTGCAGAGAGATAAGTAGCAGTAGAGTTTCGCTTTTCAAGTAGAATTATATCATTTGGATCTCTGTAGAAAATATTGTTTCACGAAGAAAATTTAAACTTGTTATAGGGATTTGAGGATTAACAAAATTGATAAATGAGTTCTATTACTTGCAAGGTGCATCCAGTAAAAGCAGATAAAGAGAAAAAAAAAAAAAAAGGTGCATCCAGTAAAAGCAGATACTTTATTGGAATTATTGAACAAACACAATTTAGCTGCCCCAAATACATGGTTTACTGATGGTTTTAGGAGACCTAAACGCAAATATGTAAATAAACGCCACAATGTTATTACAAATAAGGAAACTAAAAGATACCATGATATATCATCACTAGAATACGGTACGTAGCTCATCATATATAGGGCTCCAACAAATCAATACCATTTATTGTTTTTTCTTTCAATTACATACCTAGCTAGCAAATTGGACAAAAGTTATGTCCTATTCACGAGATAATGCAATCATCCGAGTTCTCCCTTCAAACCCTCCGAGGATGAGGGTTATGCTCCGGCCTAGTTTCACGCCATATAACCATAGCACGGTTTGGATCCGTCGGCCTTGGTTCACGCCTTGTATGCACCTGCGTTTCACGCCTTGTAACCGGACGGTGGTGGTCCTGCCCGCCCGATTCACGGCTTGTAACCGGACGGTGGTGGTCCTGCCCGCCTGATTCAAGCCTTGTAACTTCAGCTCGGTTTTGCTCCGGCACTTCATCGGTTATAAGTTTGAATATAGCAATATGTTTACATAGCTTCTTAAACTTTGTTGTCATTTCATGACTATCAAACTTTCCCTTCACCTTTAGTTTTCCGTTTTCCATCCACTCAAATTTAGTAACTCCTATAACCAAAAAAAAAAAAAAAAACTACAAGTATAACAATCATACGAATGATTTACAAACATCTAGTCTAAATAAAACTAGTTATATCTAATAGATATATAGAATCAGGTTCTTTTGGTTTAGTATAACCATTTATTATCTATACCTGCAAACTTAGCTATAACTTCCATAGCTTTCGTCTTCATTCTTTCGTCATAAACTTCAAACTTGAATTCAACGCTAATGTTTGGCTGCACATAAACGTGTAAAAAAATTGTAGTTTTACTCTAGAAATAATTTCCAATTGAAATTACCTCTGAGAAAAAATAAACTATGCCATTTTTAATAAATTTAAAACAGAAATATTTACCCCAAAAATATATATATATATAAAAACCAAAAAACGAACCTGCATTTTCAGAAAATTATAAAGACTAGATACTGAAGGAGAGATGATGTAAAAAGGAACGTGATTGTATTTTACTTCCCTGGACTTCTCCACAATATTTTGCTTCTCTCCTTATGTGTGTATTTATAATTTTATATATTCTAGATATTTTTTTCTAATATTCAAGTAGCAAATTAAAAAACATACTATTACAACGTCAAGCAAATTAAAAGGGAAGAAAATTTCGTTTGATATAAAAATGAAATATTAAGTTTTGGTGTGTATGTGAACCCCTTAAAGTTATTTGAGTTTTTCTACATTATATAAATTTTATTTTGTAACTAATCAAATATCCAACTTTTGTCAAGCCGAAAAGGAGAGAAGAAAGAAACTGCTGTTTAATTTCGTCGAAGCAAATCAGAAATGAAGTATCCAAATTTTTATATATGTATAACTTTTCTTGTTTAGAGATCCAACTTCAACATCGGCGACACTGGTCCATTGTATATCATTGAAAAACAAAATAGTTGGAGAGTGAGAGGAACCACAAACTAAAAGAGCTCATAACTTCGTCGTAGTTTCCATGCAAAAACTGACTACTGATAACACCGCCGATTTCGTAACGTCTTGTGGCCTAACAACAATGATATTACCTTTTTAGCTAGTGAAAGCCTACTACATATAATAAGATGTTTTGGGATCTTGTTTATTTTTCTTTTTTTATATATCATAATAATATAAGATGTTTCAAATCTCTATATAAAAAGAATTAATAAAACTAATTTATGTCAAAAAATTTAAAAGGAATTAAATGATTTTTCTTTTATTGGTTTTTACCTTTTTACTGAGTGCTTTTGTTAAAAAAATAAAATAATTTATATTAAAGTATATAATCTTAATATTAACTCTTAAACAAAATTTTTTAATTATCTCTCAAATTTACATAGAAAAATGAGATTTATAAAATATTGATTCGGGGCACTTGCACATACATCTCAAGCGGTGAAATATTTTTTCCCCATTTTTTCATTGTTAAGAAAAGATCATTTTTGAGATTGGTGTTTTTTCGAATAGAATGGAGAGCACTTTAGGTGTTTAACAACGTTACTGATGCAAATTTTAATTGAGTTTTAAAAATGAAAAGGAATAAATAGTTGCCTATTGGCATAATTAACCGATGCTGTTATGTATTTAAGAAAATGGACGTCATAATCATATCATGACTAACCTTAGGACTAGTAACCCAACCGAAGCAAACCCAACCGATCGGTATCAACTAACATTTAGCAATCGGTTATATATTATTTCAATTAATTTATCTGAACCGATCGGTTAACCGAAACAAAACCAAAACACTAATAATCAACTCTAATCAAAGCTGCTTTACATTAATGTTTAGTTACAATAATGTTACTCGAACAACAACTTGTATTTATAATTTTTAAGAAAAAAATAAAAAATTCAAATCTTTAGTTAACTCTCAATCAACATAAACGATATCACTCGACTCAACAAAACTAGAGGACCAAATCATAAATAATGTTAACAAAATACACAATAGATCGCCAATACATAATTATAAAACCACATGACAGATAATGAAACAAACTTTATTGTACAAGAAGATATGAAATTCTACTTTTATTGTTTCTAGTCCATGGTGCTCAAACTGGTGATAGACTAGATAAAACGCTGGACCATATTTTTGACAAGTCTCCCTTTCTTTGCAACTGATCATGCATGCCTTCGTTGTGTTTGTGTTGAACTTTGGCCTCTGTTAGACTGACTCGATCTGTTTGAACCCAAGGACGTATAGGGGTTCCCTATACTACTTGAGAATGTGCTTTGAGAGAGATTCTCCGAACTTCTTGACCGTGAGTGGGAGAAACTCGACGAACTGCTCGGTGGTGTGAACTGAGAGGAATATGCCATACTACTGCCTTGTTGTGTGAACTGAGATAAGTCCATAGCACTGCTTGATCCTGATAAACTAGACGAACGGTTCCGCCTACTGCTTGTGGCAAACTCTGATGCTCTAAAACTTGATGTTGATCCTTCGGAACCTAGTGACGCTGCATCATATAGTTTAACAACAAATCTTTAAGGTTAACACAAACACACACACACATAAAAAAATGCCAATATGTAACAAAACATACCTGTAAATGGATTCACATATTTATATTTTCCATCTCGACCTTTTCTCATTTGCGGATAGTGAAACTCGGCGTTTCGAGGCTTGTATACTTCATGATTAACCTTATCAGGTTGTTTCTTGCCACCAAACCAATTTTTAAACATTCCTCCTTCTGGCTTTGGCTGATTCACTTGATCAAGTTGTTGCTTCTTCTTACCAAAGTTCTGTGCAGCGTAGCCTCCTTTTTGTTGCTGCAGAAAGGGGTTTTTCGCATTACGTTTATCCATAACTTCACGCCAATACATTGGCAGCTGATTTGTTTGTACATAAAAAGGTCCATCCGCAGGACCGTTGTTTAGCGGCTGTCTTGCTTGGTTATGAATACCTTGTTGTCTTTGTACAGGTTCATACTGACGAGTACCGTGTCCGAACGTCTTTTTCGGTATTGTATTATCGGCATCTGGTTGCTTTTTCGGCTCTACTTCTACATCTTTTCCTTGACATAGTTTAACATCTTTATCTACGTACTTTAGTTTCATCACCATTTCCAATTTGTGAAATTCTCCTCCCATCACTCTTAGATAAAAACCATTTTTGACCTCTACCGAAGTAACCTCTAACAAAACAACAAATACGGGTTAATTAATGATTATTTTAATTAATTCATCCTATATACGTACCAACATTGATTTTTTGTTGATGTGAGCACCTGAAAACTCCCAGATAACTTGCATAGCTTCCCATATGATACGTCCATCAAGAACTTGAAACTTGAATACAGCTATCTCCTGTAAATTTAGCAGTTCATATATGGTTTTAAGTAATAAAACAAAAAATTATACATATCTATGCGTTTATGTACTTTAACTTCCTTCAAAAACAATATTATGAAAATTGAAGAAGAACAAACCTGTTCTTTCGGAGGGTTCAGATAATTGTAGGCTGTATTCAAACCCGGGATGTGATAATTTTGCTCCGAGCTTTGCATTGGATCGGTTATTATATCAACAGAGTTATCTATCTCCTCCCAAAGTATTCTCCCCATTTCAATCTCATCAAAACATCCCCTCACCTTTAGTTTACCTTTTTCATTGACGTCTACCAAAGTAACTCCTATATAACAACAACAAATATTATTGCTTCGTTATCATGCATGGCCTATTACGAATTGATTTATATGGTTTCATTATTATGACACAACCAGAGATTTGTTTTGGTCTACGTACCTCGAAACATCCAGACAAATCTCATAGTGTTCCTTTTGATGCTTTCATCAGAAACATCCAACGTGAATACAGTTGTTTCCTCCTGCAAAATTAATAGTTCATAGTAATTTACAACGAAATAACTCTTTTAGATGATCCTTACTGTTTGATAGTTTTATTTTCTTAAAACCAATCTGACAATTGAGAATAAAAAACGAACCTGCATTTGCGGAATGTTATCAAGGTTGGACAATGGAGAGTAAAGAGAGAGAGAGAGAGAGATAATGTAACTTCGCAGCTTGCACAATAAATAACCCTTTGCTCCTTCCTATTGATATTTTGTTTGGGTAACTAGTGAATATAGTAATGATTAGGTACAGCCACTGGAACTATAAAAGGAAATAGTCAATTTTTTACATCAAGACCAAGAGACCATTTGAGTCTTTCTATATAATAGATGGTAGAATCTAAACAAGTTGAGTCTACTTTAGTCTTTGTATATAATATTAGATGGTAAAATCTAAACAAGTTGAGTCTATAGTTTAGTCTTTCTAAATAATATATGGCTAAAGAGTGTCCCTTGGTCTCTTACTTTAAGTGACTAAAACCATTTCAACAAACACCATGTTATATAAAATATGATATATGATATATATTCTTATCTTGGTACGTAATTTTAGAACAATTATTGACTTCAATACAGTAATTGTTACATTGGAGGTTGTAATTTCTTTCTTGAAATGTTGTGCAAGCGGTGTCAAATATAATTATGTTAAAATTGCATAATGATGCTGGAAATTATATGTGTTACTGATATATATGAACGGTTACGTTACACAAAACATACATACTAATTATCTGTACGCTACATTCATCCAAATCTCATCAGTCCACATACAGTATATATAAAAACTCTAATTTGTAATCCCGGTCAAGTTATACAATCTATGTGAACTTTTTTTTTGTTCTAGCAATGGTGTGGTGAAATGAAAGAGATGAAAGTGAAAGATTGGTGCTATATGATACCAATTATTACGTTCGTTCTGCATAAATAGATTGTAAGATAACACAAGAGATTCGATTGGTAATTTAGATTACCTATTTTTGTTTGTTTTCATTGATTAATAAGAAAAATTACATAATTAAAGGGGAGCCAAAACAAGTAGAAAAAAAAAGCTGGAAACTGCTTCCTACCGAAAAGGAAGACACAAGTAGTTCCTTATTGAATAATTCAGAAAAAGGTGAAGTTAGATGACTTCGTCAAGCTGCGTGAGTTTATAATCTATGTCCTTTAGTTTCGTGGCCATTGCAATTTTATCAAAGTCTCCTTCCACCTCTAGTTGAACATCAACTCCGTTGACCTTTGAAGATGTTGTGTTGACTGGTTTTATAAGGCGCTTGGATTAAGCAACTCAATCATCAAGGGAGAGATTGAAGATGTTGAGTTGACTGGTTTTATAATCCTTATTGAAGATGTTGAGTTGACTGGTTTTATAAGGCGCTTGGATTATAAAACTCAATCATCAAGGGAGAGATTGAAGATGTGGTGTTGAATGAGTTTTATAAGCTATCTCAATATGTCAAGAGATTACAAGAATACATAATATGACTAGATATAACTGACATAGAAGATGAAGCAGTGCTTGTACTAGTTCTGACGTCAATACAGAAAGTAGTACAAGAAGGTGAGTTGTGCGAGTACTTGAAGTAGTACAGGAGGCAGTACATGAAGCCGAGCTGTGTGACTACTTGAAGAGTTGGAGTACAGAAGTTTGGGACCGACTTGGACAAGTCAAGAGGCGGTTGCTGAGCTGGATGAACATCTTGAATAGTACATTCAAGATGAGAATGTGAAAGGCAAATTTCCTTATCTATAAAGAACAAAGGAAATTTGTCAATTCCTATTAGGTGAAGGAATAGGAAGATTGTCAATCTTTAGGGTTGAGCAATTGTTATAAATACCAAGAGGGCGCTTCATGAAGACTTGCGCGCCTTAGGGTATTCTCGAGAAGATGCACACAAGGTGTGTGGCGTTGCCCCATCAACAAGATAGAGAGATCTTTTGATGGTTTTGTAGAAGAGCTACACTAGTCGGAAAAGACAATTAGTGGTAGTCTTCTTTCATTGTAATTCTAGGAAAGAGTTGGTGGATTCCATATAGCAATTGTAGGTTGCGAACTTTTCTAGTTAATGAAATCTGGACTAGGTCCCGGGGATGTAGGTGATCCGAACCCCGTTAACAAAGCTTGTCTCTTATTTACTTTATGCTCATACAACTCGAAGTCGATTATACACGTACGTGGTTGAATTAGTCACACAGATGCACTTTCAACCTTTACTGAAGTAACTCCTAACAACCACAAACATTAATGGTCTTATTTTCAGAAGACTAAATATAGATCAAATTTGCGTAAACTGAAATATTATAATGTCAATGATTTATTTGGTTTTTGTTGGTACCTGGAAACTCCCAGATACTATTAATAGTTGCCTGTTTGATGCCTTCATTAAATTCCTTAATCTTGATTGTAAATTTCACCTGCAAAATATCAATCCATGGTATAAGTAATAATAGGGAGGCATTAATTTTAATTTCTGAAAAATAATCATCTGAATTTTTTTTTTTTTTTTTAAAAGAACCTTTGGAGGGATCATCCTAGAGTGGGAAGTTTCAATAGTGATTATGACAACAGAATCATCTGTCTCTTGTAGTTTGCTCCTCATTTCAATCTTATCAAATATTCACTTCACCTTTAGTATACCTATCTCATTGTTGTCTACGAGAGTAACTCCTAATAACAACAAATATTCTTTTGCTTCAATAATTCAAGCTTTCTTAGATTAAACTACTTATTTTATTTTTCCTTTTGGTTTCGTTAATATTACAACTATATATATATATATATATATATATATAGATTACTGTTCTTCGTGTACCTGAAAACATCCAGACAACTTTCATAGCTGCCCGTTTGATGTTTTCATCAGAAACATTCATCTTGAATTTAACTGTCTGCTCCTGAAAAATTAGCATTTCATCATATATATAAAAAAAGGAACCTGCATTTTTTAGAATGTTAGATTGGAGAAGAAGATGAACGCAGAGGAATATGATTGCAACCTCGCAGCTTGTACATCAATAACCCTTTGCTTTCTCGTACAATTTATACGATAATAGTAAATATTGTAATGATGAGGTTCAGCCACTAGAACAATAATAAGAAGTCAATTTTGTACATTTGAGACCAATTCAAAAAGAATTTAATACATTTTTACGATCAAATACAAGTTGAGTCTAGTTTACTGAGTAATTAGAAGGATATACCGAGTTATACAAAAATATTTTGTCGTAATCTCGATAATAACTTGTCATAATTTTAATTTTTTTTTTTGTAAAGAGAGATTTACGCATATATAGATTAGTATAATGTGTATTAGTTGAAGAAGAAATGTTTCTAGGGAGGTATAATAGAGTTCCTAAAAATAATTAAAACAACATGATACTTGCATTCTAGAAGAATTGTTTTTTTTTTACATCATCACAAATTATAAATATTTTTTTGAGAGAAACCGGGCTCGAACCCGAATCTGGTGAGAAAGCAACAGAGGTGAGAATATTTAAGTTGTTACATAAATTGATTTTGATAAAATGGAATCGTATAAATTTTTGGGCGAATACTTGTGTTTCTGAATTGCTCATGGATATATAGATAGTATGGACAAAATGATTGAGAAAAACTTAAGACCAGTGTAGTGTTTTTCAGGTAACACTATATTGTTTTTGGAGAGAGCGTAATACTTCTTTGTTTAGGATCTTGATAAAATACGGATGAATATATGGATGTTCAAAAAGCTTTAGGCCATGCGATTCGAAATAGTTTTAACGGACTAAAATAAAACTCAGTTTAGGGGGAGGAATATGATTTTGTTTGTTTTCATTTGATTAATTAAATAGCAAAAGTACATAAGCAAAGTGGAAACTGCTTCCTAAGGATAAGGAAGACACTAGTAGTTCCTTATTGAATAATTCAAAATAAACAAAGTGAAGTTATAAGACTTCTTCAAGCTACATACTTCTTTGTTTAGCTCTGGTTGCGGACTTAGACCTTCTCAGTACCACCTACAAAATCTTCCCTTAGTTGCTCCACCTCCACCACATCATCTGGTAGAGCCATGATGGTTACGGTAACATTTTCATCTATGTCCTTTAGTTTCGTCACAATTACATTTGTATCAAAGTCTTCATTCATCCCTAGTTGAACATCATCTCCCTTGACTTCTACCGAAGTGACTCCTAACAACAAACATTATTAAATAATGGTTTAGACTAAAAATTATGGAAACTAAAATATCTTACAAAAGGTTTATTTGGTTTAGCACATAGGTTTTTGTGTTGGTGTACCTGGCAACGTCCAGATAACTTCCATAGCAACCTGTATGATGTCTTCGTCAAAATCATTAAACTTGACTTCAAATTTCGGCTGCAAAATATGATCAATCCATCGTTTATATCTCTACATAATTCATATAGTAGATAACAATAAGACATTAAAAAAAAAGCGTCTGAAAATTTATATAAAATGAACCTTTGGAGGGATCATAACACTGTGCATTGGACGCCCAATGATTATGGAAATAGAATTATCAATCTCTCGTAGTTTGCTGCCCATTTCAATCTTATCAAATAATCCCTTCACCTTTAATATACCTTTCTCACTTATGTCGACGAGAGTAACTCCTAATAACATGAACAAATACCTTATTTCAAGCTTACATAGATTAAACTAAAATATAGATTTATTTGGTTTCGTTAGTATTAGTTACAACCATATGGAGATTAGTGTTCCGTGTACCTGAAAACATCCAGACAACTTTCATAGCTGCCCTTTTGATGCTTTCATCAGAAACATCCATCTTGAATTCAACCGTCTTCTCCTGCAAATTAGCATTTCATTGCATACATAAAAATATTCCTACCGTAATTGATATGAAACAATTGATAATTGTTTGCTTATAAAACTAATCCGAAAATTGGAAACAAAAACATACATACATACATATAAATATGTATATATATACAATTGAAATTAGCTTCTCTTTTTAACTGTATTATTGTATAAGATATAACTGTATTATGCATACACATATGTTTTTGAATATTTCTGTAGAACTACCGTTAATATATAATATACAATCTTTGAAGTTTTATTGCTTAAAAACTATTCTGAAGGAAACAAAAAAGAAAACAGAAAAAACGAACCTCCATCTTTAAAAATGTTAAAAAAAGTTGGAAAGTAGAGAAGAGATGAACACAGAGGAATATGATTTGCAACCTCGTTTCTTATACGTCAATAACCCTTTGCTTCACCGTATATTTATACGAATCACATTTATTTATAGTAATCAGATACATATGAAAATAGTCAATTTTGTACATCAAGACCAATACGAAAAATTAAATAGATTGGTACAATCAAATACAAGTTGAGAGTCTACTTGATTGACTTTATAAATTTAGAAGGCTATACCCAGTTATATATATATACTAGAAAATTGCCCACGCGATGCGTGGGTTATATATGCAATATTAATTTGAAATATAAATTGAAAACTACATTTGTATAGTTTAATATGTAATTGTTAATATAGAACATATTTGTGTACATTATAAACAGTAAAAATAAATAAAATATATATTTGAAAAATATGAAACCGAATGAGATCAATACAAAGTAATACAGATTAGCACATATATAATATAGTAGGCAATTGTAAATTGATGTTAACTTTTTTTTGTGTGTACATTGTTAATATTAAAAGTAAACAAAACTCACATAATTTATGAGTATTGGTTTATCTCCCTAGTTTTTATCATTAGCTAGAAGTAAATTGAATTTTTAAAAAGATCAAGTTAAACTTTCCAAAATATCAATTTAAAATATTTCACCTGAGATATATGTTTTTTTTAAGACCTTATTTAGAAAAGCTTTTTCAATTTAGAAAATATTTCACCTGAGATATAAGAGCTTTTAAACAATAATTATATAAACAATAAAATAAAAGCCAAATGAACAGAGGAGGATTATTTGAGAAAAAGAAATTTGTTATTTTTCATTCTAATTGATTGGAAAAGAAGCACACATATACGTAGATGAGATCCTTTTATATATATTAAGATAATTTTATGTAGAATTTGTTGAAGGATAAAACTAATATTGAAACCATTTAAGAACAAACACAAAAATTTACATTACTATAGAAGCTAAAGAAATGAATTTATATCAAAAAGGCATCACATGTATACATCAACATTAACAAAAAAGATGAACGAATATATCTATCTATTATATGTACATGACAACAATCATGAATTGCTCTTAAGAAATCGAATTTATGTTCGGTCTCTCAAGGAAAATCTAACTTGGATTAGATATTTATATTGTTATGAAAAGAAATACTATTATTTAGACAAATGATTAAATTACTAAGAGTGGAGAGTGGATATGATACTATTGTATAACTCATACTTTATAAAATTATATAATTTAATAGGATTTTAGTGAAGCTCACTAATTCACTGTCTACTCAATTGATGAATGAATTAAACAAAATTTAAATTTTATGAACAGTATGATTTTTCTTATAAAAAAAATTTTAAGACCAATTTTTTTAAAACCAATTACTTTTTGTTTCTTTTTAAACACTTAGACCACAAATTTTAAATAATAATCTATTCGATCACAAACTAAATATAAATATACATATATCGAAATGAATTACAATTATTTGAGTTTTTTTAAAAATAGAAGAAGTTATTTGTTAAAGTTTTAAATTGAAACTTTTATTTATATAGCAATCAAAACTTTTATTTTACATATGTGTTAGATCATACTTTCTTCATTCATACTCATAACTTTCTTCATTCATACTCATAAGTATGAATAATAAGGCATTAGAAATAAAATTTGAAAATTTATATATAATAAGGCATTAGAAATAAAAATTGAAACCATGTTTGATATATATCATAATTTCTAAAATAAATTAAGATCAAATTCTTAAAATGATACTTTCATTGATTTTCAATCCATATAACAACACAAAAATAGAACATATTTAAGATACATGAATGTAGTGATAGAGAATGAGAGACAGAGAGAGAGAGAGAGAGTTTAATTATAAGATGGTAATCTAAAATAGACAATAGAGATGAATCTTAAAAAATCAATAAAACAATGTAAATATATATCATAGAGTGTCTAAAAATTAAAATTTAGACTAAACTTTTACAATGGTATTTAAATTTATTTTTCAGCTCATACAACAACAAACAACCAACAAAAAAAAAAAACACAAAAAAAACAAACAAAATTATAGAATATTTGAGGTAAAGTGGAAGAGGAGGAGGGAATGAGAGAATGAGAGAATGAGTATTTATAAGATGAGAAGTGATGAGAGTTACAATTTAGAAGAAAATGTTTTGGGAGTTAATTCTAATTAATTGTGTGTTGACTAAAATTGAGTAGAAAAATATAGTTAATGCAAATTTATATTATTTCAGTTTTTATATTAAAGTGTGAGTTAAATGTATATAATTAATTGTATTTTAATTGAATATATATTTTTTGGTTTTAAATTAAAGTGTGAGATAAATATATATGATCTTCTAGACAGAAACCCAAGTAACTAATTAA